TGCTGAGCCCAGTGTTGGAGGCTGGTTTGGAGGCTGTTAATCAGCAGATCCAAAAATCCAATAAAGTCCTTGCAGTGATTAGGAGAGGAAGATAAAACTGTGTGTGTGCAAGAGAGAGAGGAGGGATGGAGTGGGCTTCTTGCTGTTGGTGCAGCCTGAATTGAGCAAAGCCTGCTCCTTCCAGAGCCCTGGGGTGAGCTCAGACAGGGTCTGGGTGTCCCTGGCAGTCACAGATCCCCTCTTTAGACTTGTCCCCTTCCTGTGCTCACTGCCTCCCTGCTGCCCAGGCACTCTGGGTTATTAAAAATGAGATAAGGATCGAGGTCCTGCACACACACACGGGCTGCAGAACAGGATCAGCAGCAAAATCAATGCTGCTTCAGGAGCTCAGGAGCTGCTGCAGTGCTCAGCAGCACAGTGGCTGCTGCAGGGGGAAAAATTCCAGGAGCCACACTCAGGAGGGACATCCCAGCATGGGGATCCCATGCTTTAAAATACTTTTTTTTTTTGCCAGACAGCTGCTGTGACAGGGATAATTTCCTGCTGGAAATTGCCTTTCCATGCTGAAATCTCCAGCCACTCTTCTTGGGAAGCAGTGGAGCCAGTGGTGAGGGAAGAACTGGCCATAATTTCTGGGATTTCCTTTAGCCGAGGAGCTGATTGCTTAGCTGCAGGTTTGGGATGAGCCTCATTAGTGAGATGCTGATAGATGAATGCTGGCCTTGGTGTTTTGTCTTGTAAGGCAGGTTTTTAACCCACATCTCTTTTGGGCTGCTCAGCCTGGAGGAGAGAGTCTTTGGAGAGATTTACAGCACCTTCCAGTGCCTGAACATGACCTAGAGGAGGGCTGGAGAGGGATTTTTACATGGGCATGGGGTGATAGGGAAAGGGGAAATGGTTCTAAGCTAAAGGAAGGCAGATTTAGATGGGAAATTGGGAAGAAATTCTCCCTGTGAGGGTGGGCAGGCCCTGGCAGAGGGTGCCCAGAGAGGCTGTGGCTGCCCCTGGATCTCTGGAAGTGCCCAAGGCCAGGCTGGACAGAGCTTGGAGCAGCCTGGGAAGGTGTCAGGGTGGAATGGGATGCTGCTTAATGTCCCTTCCAAGCCAGACCCTTCCATGCCCCTGTGTTTCTAAGAGCTGTGCTGCCAGGTGTGAATCTCTTGCTGTTTAAACTCTTCACCTCAGTTTCCTCCTCTGGAGGAAATAACTCCAGGGCAGGATTTCCCCCCCGGAAAGGCAGCTGGGATTCCCCACAGTGTGTGAGGAGCAGGGTGTCCCTGCTGGGCTGTCCCAGGGTGACAGCAGGACAGGAGGGACAATTCCCTCCCAAACTCAGTGACACGGGCAGGGCAGGAGGGACAATTCCCTCCCAAACTCAGGGACATGGTCAGGGTAGGAGGGCCAATTCCCTCCTAAACTCAGTGTCACTGCTGGGCTGTCCCAGGGTGACATGGGCAGGACAGGAGGGACAATTCCCTCCCAAACTCACGGAGCCAGCTGAGGTGGGAGAGGACCTGTGGGTGCAGAATCCTGGCTGGGATCAGCTGATCTTCCATCCAGACCTGCAGAGCCACACTTGCAGTGAGCATCACTTGTTCCTGATGGCTTTATGTCCCTAAAGAATGGGGAGTGCATCCTGCAGATCTGCTCACACCTCACACCCAGCCACGCTGGAAAATCCCATCTCAGGCTTTAGGATCACAGAGCTCACCTCTGTGGGTTTTATTAGCCAGCTCCTCCGGTGCCCTCAATTCTGGGGTCATTCCTGGGGGCTTTGTGTGCTGCTGGAAAGTGAAGAGTGCAGGTGGAGCGCTGCAGAAAGCCAGGGAGTGACTTCATCCTCTAATAACTCCTGCAGCGCCGTCTCCCAGGGAACCCCGTGGAATTCAATTAGCTAATTGTGTGCCTAGCACTCGGGAAAATATAGAATGCCACGGAATTGCTAAGTGTTGTTATTTAACAGCGCACATTTCGTGGTTGCAGCCCTGTAGTAGCAGTCGGAAAATCTACACTGTAATTGCCTGCTGGTGCCTGCTGCTGAATTTGCTGTGATCGGAGCAAGGCCTGGGGATTTTTCTTTCTGTAAAAAAGTTCATTAATTTTGGCTGCAGATCCTCCGGGTCTAATTTTTTACCGAGTTCTCTTGAAACAGAATATTGACATGTGGTGGGTGTTTTAAAAAACAGAGTGGAAAGAGGGGGAGGAATTGAGGCAGGCAGGATTTGTGTCTCTGAGATTCACCTTGGCGTGATTCCTGGTGGTCTTCTCTGTGCCTCACGTTGGACTGAGATTGAGGGCCAAGTTTTGGGCAATTACTGCAATTCCTCCAATGTAGGGAGAGGGATAAAAAAACCAGGATGGGCGGAAATGAGGGAGCTGCTGTTTGCACCCATCATTTTGATGGCATTTTCTGAAAGCCTGTGGTTATAAAGCTGTGTTTGCACAGGTGGAGGAGGCTTGGAGTCCCCTCCTAAACAGGATGTCAGAGTTATTTTCCTAATGGCTCTTTGCTCTTATTGCATTGAGAATCTTCTGCAGAAGCTCCAGCCAGCACTGAGGATGAGGGAGAGTAACTCCAGGAGGAGAGAAAGGCAGCTGGGAAAGTGTTTTGTGTAGGAATATCCCTCACTATGTCTCAGAGAGAAATCCTTGCTCTCCAGCTGAAAATACCCCTGAGATCAGGGGCGTCCCACCCCCTGTCCTGCCTGTGTTTGCCTCTTGCAGCGTGGGAGGAGGGCAGGACAGGTGGGAAATCAGCTGAGAGCTGCAGGTCTGGAATAGCAAACGAGGTTTTGTTTGCAAAACGTGCATTTGGAAATGTCAAGCATGGTGAATGAGTGTAAAAAGGGGAAAAAAAAAAAAGCCCAAACAAATAGGGACAGAAGCTGAGCTGGCAGCTCTGGGAGTGTGGGGATGCTCTCACCCCTTTGCCCTCTGCAGCAAAGCCTGACCTTACCAAATCTCTCTTATCCCACTGCAAATGAAGTGTGTCCCCCTGGGGTGGTTTATCTCCATCTCATTGCATGGGCTGCTCACGGCTCATTTCCTCCTGACCCGGCTCTTGCTCCTCTGATGGAAAGGCATTTAATGGCCAAAAATTGGAGCTGGAGCACAGGGAAGGGACAGGGAGCAGGGTGGAAGGGGCCAGGTCCAGGCCATGCCACCCCTGTGTGTCACAGTGATGCTTTATGGACGTGGCAGCCACAGGAATGGGGTTTTCTGCAGCTGGAAAAAGAGGGATTTGGAGAGGGTTGGCTGTGGGAAAAGACCAAAGCTTGCACGAAGCAGCCAGTGGTGATGGGAGCTGGGCAAAGCTGCTGGCAGTGTTTGGACCAGAGCAGATTATGGGCTCTGGGGGGTCTGGCTGTGGTTGTTTGCAGGCACAGAGTCCTGGCAGCTGCCTCAGTGCAGGGAATTTACCCAGGGAAAGTGGGAGAAGATTCCTTCAGGGGCTGGTTCTGACCATGGCACTCAGCCACTCAGGGCAGCAGGACCTGTGGGTCCAGCCCTGTGGCAGTGCCTGGCTGGGGTGAATCTCACCCCTGCCTCAGTTTCCCCACATGAACTGACACCCCTTCATCTCCTCATCCAGTAATTGATCATTTAAAGATCAGAGCATAACAAAACCTTCCACTTCAAAAGCTTGGAAATGTTTTCAGGGGACAAAAGCCACAATAAATAAATAAACACACTAATTCAGCTGCCCTGAGGCTGGGGCGGGCTGGCACAAGATGAAACCTCGGATTTTGTGACAAAACATCTCATTTTCCTCCTGGATATCCCCAAGCCAAGAGGGCAGTGGGGCAGCTGTTTGCCCGGTGCCCTGCACAATTTGCCTGGAGGCTCTGGCTGCGGGGAGAGGGGATTTTACAGGGGTTTAGGATCCCTCCTGCTGCTCTGCCTGCAGCCAGCCTCTCCTCAAACCCAGCTCCTCATCAGCCATCTTCCCTGCTTGCTGGGGCTGACAGGATGCCCTGGGTGAATGGATCACCTGTCAGCAAGGCACAGGGATAATATCATTCAGATGAATCAATAGTTCACAGGCAATTTCACATTACCCAGCGTTAATGTGTCCAAAATGTGCTCCATCCTGCCTTTGATGGCATTCCCGTGGGTCTTGGCCGGGCTGGAATAGTTTTGTAAGTCCCATGTTTGGGAGATTGACAGGAATTGCTCCTGAGTGCACAGCAAAGATAAAAAATGGCTCAACTTGCTGGAATTTCATCCCCCAGGGAGCCCAGGGACAGCTGGATCCAGCATCCAGCAGTGGCTGGAAGTGTCACTCCCACCTTCTCACTCCACTTCAGCAATTAGCAGGAGAGAAATTAGTGAGGAAAGTGCCATTATTCCCTGCTAACAGGACAAGGAGGGCTGGACTTTTCCCCAGCCTTTATTGTGTAGCTGCTTCCGTGGATGTGAGGAGCAAAACCAAGCCCTCTGTTTTAATTTATTTAATGTAGTTGTTTTTATGCTTCTGAGCACTTGCAGAAATGCAAGAGGAGGCTCCCAGCTCCAAAACTCACAGTCAAGGCACCCTCCAACCCTCCCCAGGGTATTAGGGTGGTGTCTCCTCCTGGAACCTGGCAGCAGAAAGGAGCAGTGCAGGGTTGGGGGATTTTAGGGTTAGGTAGAATTTGGTTCCTCCTCCTGTGGGGAGAGAACCGATTTAATTGAACAGTTGGAGCTTGGTGTCACCAAATTGGATGTGGTGATGGAGCAGCTTCACTCAGCAGGTGGGTGACGCCCTCTTTGGAGGGTTTGGGGGTTTTTTTGGTGGAATTTGGTCAATAAAGCACTGGACTTGGCTGATACCTTCATTAAAAGCCTGAGGTGAGCAGCGCCCTGAGTCAAATCCTGGTAAAACCCAGGCTCTCCCTTCCAGCAGCTGGGTGGGTTCAGGCTCTCACAGCTCCCACTCCCTTCAAGGGCACTGAGTGGCTGTGAAGCTTGCAGTGCCTGTTTTCCCCTCTAACCCCATTTTCTGCTTTGGGCTGCTGTAGGAGTTTTCCCTCCAGCGCCTGGACAGCCTGCTGGACGACCGAGTCAACATCCTGGGGTTCTCCATTTTCAACCAGTCCCATGCCTTCTTCCAAGAGTTCGTCCAGAGCCTCAACCAGTCCTGGCAGGAGAACTGTGACCACGCTCCTTTTACTGGGCCTGCAGTAAGTAAAATCCATTCCCATCCCCCAGAACCTCCCTGAGCTGGGAATTCTGATAAACCACAGAAAAACCTTGTGGGAAGAGCTTCAGGATGGTCCTGAGCAACTCAGGGGTAGAAACTCTGGTCTCAAATAATTTTTTCAAAAGTTATTTAAATTATTAAACCATTTAATTATTTAATCCTATTTAATCTTGTGCTGAAGGGCTCAGGGATATCCCCAGGCTGCTGTTGTACCTCGGATTGGATTTTATGAGGAGATGCTGGTCCAGGAATGGGAAGGAAGAGCCAGAGCAGAGCATTTTTATTAAGTAGGTAGGAGAGGACTTGAGCTGTCAATCTGTGATTTACAGAGGATGTGGAAAATGGCAAAGTGACCCTGAAAGTCAGAGCTGCCCGAAGGACCTTGGGGTGCAGAGCTGTGCTGGAGTGGGAGCCCAGCTTTAAATTCCAGCCTAATCTTGATTTGGATTGTGTTTCTCTGTGGGTGCAGGGGATGATGCAGCTCTGATTCATTTTTTTCCCTCGTGAAGTTTATCCCTGTGTGTTTAAACTCCAGGAGAGTGGCTCGTGGAGGGGGATTGTGGCTGCAGATGGCACAGGAGGGGCTGGGTCGGGCAGATCCTGAGGGGCTGAGCTGTGCTCTGTGCTGCAGCAGCTCCCTGAGGAGCGTGAGGAGTGTGCACATCAGCACTGGAGTATTCCCCAGGGATTCTCCACAACTGGGAGAGTTTGCAAAGCAGATTTGCCACATCAGAGCTGCAGCTGCGAGAGGAGAGAGAGAGAGAGAGGAAAATATCATCAGCTGAACCCTTTGCATGGATTTTAATGAACCCAGAGCCCCTTGAGGAGCTGAGCTGCTGAAAACCTCCTTATTGTCACCACAAAGGGAGCTTTAAGAGGCAAAATAAGGAGATTTTTTGCCCTTTGTGTCCACATCCTTTGGCTTGACTTGAGCTCCTGTGCCTGGGACCATCCTGCTCTCCCTCCCAGCCAGAGGCAGCTGCAATCAGCTTGTCCTGCTCAGTCTCCACGGGATTTCCAGCAGGAAGATTCCTTTTTGGATTGCAGGGGCTGTTGAGAAGCATTAAAAACAAATTCCCTCCTCCTAGTGCAAACAGGAACCAGCAGGAACCAGCAGCAGGTGTGACGGGGAAATGAAAATTCTCATTTTAGGTTCTTAGCCCACGTTGTATTGAGCATCCAGCAAAACCTGTAGGTGGGAGGATGCCTGGAGAGACTGGAATTCTTCAAGATGGCACAAGCCAGGTGATGGGAAAAGGATTTGAGGGTAGGGAAGTTACAGAGCAGAGGTGAAATATTCCCAAGCAGAGTTTCTTTTGCCTGTGAGGTGAATCCAGGACCTTTCTGCCTCTGCTGTTGGAAATCTGGCAGGGAGCATCCCTGGGAAGGATCCTGTGGGATAACTCATCGTAAAGAGAGAAAAGGAAGCTCAACAGCTGGAAGTGACAGGAGGGAGGTTTCCTGTGAGCTGCAAAAATCCCAGGGCATTCTTGCTGGAGCTGAGGAAGCATCTGACAAAGGAGGAGGGAGCTGCCTGCTCCAATGCCATTCTCATTAATCACATTGCAAAGAAAGGAAATCAGAGAAAATCATTCAAATTACAGATGGCTAGATTTGGTAATTAGAATTTAGGCTAAAACAGATGTTTGTAATTAAGTGTTTATGTCATTGAATAAAATCCAGATTGCAAAGTCTATTTCACAGGGTTTTAATGGCTTTAATTCCCCATGTTGGGTTTGGGGGCAAAGATACAGCTGATAATGTTTTAGGAAGGGAAGAAAAACCCCACATGGAAAAACCCAAACCTGTTTCACTGTCAAGAATTGTCCAGAATTTGGGGATTGAGGGAAGTCTCCCAAGCTCCATGGATTTTCCATGGAGCTCTGATATTCCAGAGGGGCACAAAACCAACAGGGCTCTGCACAAATCAGATGGTGCAGGGAGAGAATCAATTTGTTAGCAGGGAAATTGGCTTTTTTGTGACACAGGGACAAAGCTGTGGTTTAAAATGAGAATATAAAAGTATTGAGAGGTTTTTATCGGTGACATGGGGAAAGAGGAGGGCAGGAACAGATCCCTCAGGCTGGATCTGCCTGGAGGACACTCCAAAAGTCTCTTTTCACTCCTCTGCTGAAGGTTATGACCTCAAAACTTTGTGTTTTACTTCTGTTCCGTGCAAAGTCAGGCTGCAGGGAAGGGATTTCTATTGCATGTCACAAGAACTTGATCCTGTGTATCTCCACACCCTCCCCAGCACTTAAATTGCTTGAAATCATAAAGGATGATGGCAGAAATCCTAATGAATTTTCCAGAGTTCAGGGGTAAAACATTCCAATCAATATTGTCAAATGCTTCACTGAGATCTACAAGTCTCTTGCTCACCATCTAATAAGGGATTAACTGCTCAGGGAAAATGGAAATGGAAACCCAGCAGGAGAAAATTAAAAATGCTGGGCCAACATTCTGATTTGGTAGGAAATGGGGGAAACTTTGGGGTTCTGGGAGTTGTGTTTGGTCTCATAAAAGTTTCATTTGTCCACATGATGTTAATATGGTTCCTGATTCAGGAAAGGAATTGCAAATTGGGTGTGAGATCCTGTAACTTGAACAGGATTAAATTCATAATTAAAATTAAGTACATGGAAAGAGCTTCATGGAGCAGGGGCTGAGGACAGGGCAGGCTGGAGAAGCCCTGTGAGGAAAAGAATTTGTATTAAAGGAATAGAAGAAGGAGAGAAGAATTTATCAGCTTCTTTAAGAATCTCTGGAAAAGGCTCTCCAGGAAGGGAATGTTTAGGTCAGCCTCAGCAGGTTGGAGGAGTGAAAGGTCACTGGTGTTTGGGATTTTGGTGGCATCAGGCTGGAATCCTGCCTTTTAATTTAGGATGGCTTGTGGGTTTTGAGGGTTTTCTGCTGCTTTTCAAGTGTCTAATCCCACACCAGGGTGGTCAGTGAGGTCTCACCACTGGTCTAAGTAAGACCAAGCAGGGTTAAGTCAAAATTAGCAACAGAGTGGAAGCCCAAGGATTGTTGGGATCATTGAGCTGGGCGAGATTGTCCCTGCAGGGCCACTGGCAGCAGTGAATAAACCTGGTCAGGCTCAGGGAGGAGGAGAGGATGCAGAAGCCACTGCAGGGCTGGAAGCCACAGCCAGGGTAAGGTGGGGGAAGCAGCCCCAGGCTGGAGACTGAGCCCTCTGCCAGGAGCTGGGATGGGAAGAGGATGCTCTTGGAAGTATCCATGAGGAAAATGCAGCCTTGATAGTAATGAGCTGCAACAGCTTAATTCCAGCAGTCAGGAGGTGACAGTAATTAAAAGTGAAATCTCAGTTGCAACAGTGAGCACGAGGGAGAAAATAGCTGATTGTTAACGAGCCCAAAGCCATGGAAACTGCTGTGCATGAGTGGGAAACGGGGGTTGTGAGGCTTGGTGGACAAAGAAACCTGGGCAAAGGCAACCAAAGGCAAGGTGAGCAGGAGAGGGGATGAGCTCTGACACTCTGGCCATTCCCTGCTGCTCCAGCAGGGAACTGGAGGTTGTAGCGAGGGATGGATGATCTCTGTGGGGTCTGAAAGGCAGGATTTGCAGATCTAGCAATCATTTCTTGTGGGTCTGCCTGTCAAAGTGGTCAGAGAAGGCTGCCCACGATGGCTGAAGCAGCACAGTCGAGTTTCCTTCTGTAGGAGCACGCATTGGATCTCAGGAGCAATTCCCCCTGGAAATTCCTGCTTCCCTCAGGAGCATTCTCCCTAGCCAGCAGACTGATCAGAGCCACCAAAACGCTGAAAAACCTCCCTTGATTAGGAAAACTGCAGAAACTGAGACAGAGAGCACTGGGAAGCAACGAGGACAAGCAGAGATAGAGAGGCGACAGTGATGGATGAAAGGAGCTCGCACAGAGGCCACCCCAGCTGACCCAGGCTGTGCACAGAGCACTCTCCAGCTCCGAGGTGCAGCAGGACGGGGGGATTTCTGTGCTCCAGGCTGACTTTCCCCCGCCTTTGCCCCGCAGCTGTCCTCGGCGCTGCTGTTCGACGCGGTGTACGCGGTGGTGACGGCGGTGCAGGAGCTGAACCGCAGCCAGGAGATCGGCGTCAAGCCCCTGTCCTGCGGCTCGGCGCAGATCTGGCAGCACGGCACCAGCCTCATGAACTACCTGAGAATGGTGAGAGGGGGCTGGGGGCTGCTCCTGGCTGCCAGCGGCGGGGCTGGCTCTGCCCAGGCTCTTTGAAGGCAGTGAAAAGAGAGATCTGAGGGTTTGGGTTGTCACCGGCCTTGGAACGACATGAAACTCTCCCTTTTTCAGGCTTTGCTGCAGAAAAACTGGAATTCAATTGTTTTTTTAAAAGTATGAATGTTTCTAAGTGATTTGAGCTCTGACTTGAGCTGATACGAGATCACGCAGTACAATTGCTCAGAGCTCAAGGGCAAGATGTAAGTTCCCCTAAGGGTTTGGGCTCCTTTGAACCCAAAATTGTCATTTCTGGAACAAAACAAGCCTAAATCTGGCACGAGAACACTCTGAAATCCCATCCTTTTGAAATAGTTGGCGTTTGTGGCTCCTCAGAGCTGAGGTGACCGTGCAGCAGGAGCAGGTTTCTGACTCTGTTTGGGCGTAAATGAGACAAGGAAATTTTATAGAGGTTTTTTATTTATGAGAGTTTTTTTCCACCCAGAGGAAAGCTCAGCTGAACCTGAGCATTGTACCACTTTGGCCCATTGTTTTAAATCCCACCTTTAGCCAAGGACAACAAAATCCTCCACCTCCCCTCACCTCTGCTGCTCAAAGACCCAGTGGTCTTAGCCTTGGGATGGAGGGAGGCAGTGAGAGGATGTGGAGCTGGTTTTCCCAAAGCAAGGAAATCTGGGAGTCCTGTACCTCGTGCTGCTGATTTCCTGCTCCTCTCCTTGTCTTTTCTCCTCTAGCCAGACTCCAAAAGTAATTAGGACTGAGCTAAAAGGGTTGCATTGCTGTTCCTGCTGGGAGTGTGGGGTGTGTGGGGCCATCCCTCCTCTCTCTGGACAGGGAACTCTCAGAACTTTGGGCCTGTAAGCCAAAGCTTAGAATTAAACACAGGATTTGATTTGAGACCTTGCAGAAGGCTTCCAAACTTAGGTGCTAGAAGCAAGAATGTGGATTTGTAGTTTAAAGCAGAGACATATTAAGCTAAGTAGAGAAAAGTTTAGAGTACAGTACTGTAGAGTTGTAAAGTACAGTGCTGTACTCTAAAACTCTCCAGTTCAGAGTTGTTAATGTGTTTCTGTGCTTGAAATAATGGCTTTACATTCTTTGGTGGAATCCACTTTGGTCCTGAACCTGTGGAGACACATCATTCCCTTTGCCCCAGGTTATTAGTGGAAATAGACCATCAATTTGTCCTGTTTCTGGGTTTCTGATCAGGACTGAAGGATTTTCTTTCAGTTTTGCCTGTGTAGTACTGGGGAAATGCCTGTACTGGGGAGGGGCAGCCTCGCTGGGCGCTGTAACTGAGTCTCTCTTGGACAGGTAGAATTGGAAGGTCTCACCGGCCACATCGAATTCAACAGCAAAGGCCAACGCTCCAACTACGCCCTGAAAATCCTGCAGCACTCTCGTGGTGGCTTCCGGCAGGTGAGAGCAGCCAGGGCAGGGCCGGGGTGTCCTCGGCTCAGGGGGATGCTCTGGGGACCAAAAGGAGCTGTGGTATTTTCGGGGGTCCCCCGTGGCAGGAAGGAATGAATCTGACTCCATGTTCTTAGAAGGATAATTTATTATTTTGTGTTACTATATTATATTAAAGAATGCTATACTAAAACTATACTAAAGAATAGAGAAAGGATATAGACAGGAGGCTAAAAGATAATAATGAATTTTGTGACTCTTTCCAGAGTCCAACACAGCCTGACCGTGATTGGTCATTAAGTTAAAACAATTCACATGAAACCAATGAAATTATGACCAGTTGGTAAACAATCTCCAACCACATTCCAAAGCAGCAAAACACAGGAGAGGCGAATCAGATAATTATTGTTTTCATTCTTCTCTAAGGCTTCTCAGCTTCCCAGGAGAAGAAATCCTGGCAAAGGGATTTTTCAGAAAACACGGCAGTGACAGACCCCCCTTGTTTGCACCATGAGGTGCTCAGGGTGTCACCTTAGCTCTGGCTGAGCCCTGGCTGGCAAACTCAGCGTGTTTGACTGAGGAATGTGCCTCAGGATGGTTTGGATTTGTCTTAATCCATCAGGTCCTGGAGGGGGTGATGGCAGAGGCAATTTCTGGCCTGTCACAGGTGCTAATTCAGGGCAGGGAGTCTGTGCCAGCTGCAAGCTCACACTCCTGTAGTTCTTAAGCTTGTGGCTGCGTTTCCTTAAAATTATTTGGATGGGGAAAAAATGGGAGAATTTTCTATGAAATAGGGGAAAAAATGGGTATTATGAATATTTAGTTCTCAAGCTTGTGGCTGCATTTCCATATTTGGATGGGGAAAAAATGGGAGAATTTTCTATGAAATAGGGGAAAAAATGGGTATTATGAATATTTTCAAACTGTTTCTGGGAGAGAAAGCAAATGGGGCAAACCCACGTGAGGGGCTCCCCATCATCTATCTCCCCCCTGTGAGGGGAAGTTCAAGCTCATTTCACTCTCGGTTTATGGTTCCTCTCTAACAGGTTTGCTCAGCTCACACTCATTTACTTTTTGTCTCGGTGCTCGTAGGTTCTTCACAGCTTTCCTCTGCCCACAGAACACTGAGCAGATTTCATTAAAATCATTAATTTGAGTGGTATTTCCTCATCTCACACTTTCTGCCCGAGCCATATTTTCTGCTTTGAGTTGAAGTTGAGGATATCAGACTGATGAGATTACATGACACAAATCCAAGGAATTTGCTGGTAAATCCAAACCTTATTCAGGAGAGAAAAAAAAAAATAGAAGTCCCATAAAAAAACAGGGGTTTCATCTGTCTCGTTTCCCTGCTGACAGCTCCACTGCTGCCCTTTTCTCAGAGATTGCCACCTCTAGATGCTGGCAGAGAACAAAAGCTATTGTACCCTACCCTCACCAACAGAGCATTTTGGCACCAGGAGCCCTCTCCTGGCCTGGCAGCAGTGAATTTCAGCCTTGGCAAGGATGTTACCTGCCAGTCCTTACCTGTCAAGTGACAGCTTGGCTTTGATGCTGCCGTTCTCTGAGCGAGCAGGGGGGATCAGGATGGCATTTTCCCCACAGAGATCTCTCACAGCATCAATGCCCTTTTAATCCTCTCCCAAACCCATCACCCTCTGAACAGAAGTGACAGATCCAAGCCCATCTGCATTAATAAGAGCACAAATTCAGCTGGATTCAGGAAGGATGTGCTGCACAGCTCCCTGTGACAGCTCTGGTTTTGATGTGTTTGAATGTGGCAGGGGCTGCACGTTAAACTCCCAGGTCCTCTTGGAGCAGAGCTTTTCCCAGAGCTCCATGGGGAGCTGAGACTGCAGCCTGATCTGCCCTGAGACTAAAGTCTCATCTCTTCCCCACAAACCTGGTGTGACAGGAGAAAACCTTTGCTGACCTGTTGTAACAGCTCGGTGAAAAAGGAGCTCTGTGTCTGTGACGTGCCCAGGAAAGCTGCACTGGGATCAAGCTTTCCAAATTCCCCATCAGGCTGCAGGGATGAAGCACTTCCAGCCTCAGGGAGAAAGTGCTGGAAGGACAGGGCAGCCCCTTGGGGGTGGCTGCAAGCCCTGCCCTGTCACAAACCCACCAGGAAAGAGCTGATTTTCATAAAACTGCTCCCGTCTCGGCTTTTCTGCCTTCTCTCCCTTTCTCAGGGAGCTTTTCTCATCCACAGCAGTGCCCAGAGGTGGGTCAGGGCCCCTCCCAGCCTAAAGGAGTTTGTTGAGATGTGTTTGACTGGGAAGAGCCTCCTCAGAGAGCCGTGAGACCCCTCAGGCTCTGCCCAACCTGCCTCCCCTCCACGTTCCTGCAAAGAGAAGCCAAAGGCAGTCTGCTGTGCCATAAATGGTTATTTTCTTATTGCCAGCCTGGCTTCTTTTAATGAAAAAGACTAAATAAATCATTAGAAATGTTTTAATTAAAGGGAGAGGGTAAAGAACAGGCATTCACATCCTGGAGACAATCTTGCTCCCAGGGGTTGTATTAACTGATTTGTCTGTTAAGTGTTTGAAGAAACACCTCTATCCCCTGCTTAGTTTTAACCAAGCTCATTTCAGCTCTGCCCATTCCTCTCTTTCCCTCTTTTTCTCTCCTCCTCTCTCTCCTTCCACCCAGTGAAGCCACAGGGACTTCCAGCTCATCAGCTTTGATGGAGAGTTCACCAAATTTTGAGGCTGATCCAGCCAGGAAGCAAATTAGAGACACTTAGGTTCTCTAACTTGCTGCTGCTTTTGGGCAAGGAGAGGCAGGGCTTTTTGACATCCAATTTTTAATACATTTATGTAATGCACCAAACACGTCTTTTCCTGATTTAGCTTAACCAGAGGAATTTTTTCCACAGCCATATGAGAGCTGCTCTATCTGCTCACAGGATGCTCGATAAAGCACAGGCTCATTAATGTGCTGGTGATCTATAGATCTGACAAGGGCTGGGTTTGGTAAATGCCATCTTTTTATTTTTTCCCCCCCTTTCTTTGCCCCTCTAAAAAACACTGCAGAGTTCCAGCAGAGTGATTTGCTGTAAATCACGAGCTGAGGTTTGGGAACTTCATGGGGGAGGTGATTTAGGGAGGGGAGGGGAGAAGCTGCAGACCCTGACCCCAAACTGAGTGGGGCTGATCAATCCCCACTTACCACAGGCCCTGCTGGTGTCCTGAGACAGAGCAGTGCCAGGGCTGGGGCTGTTAATTGGGATGTTGATGAGATACAGATGAGTTCCCCACCAATAGCTCTGGGACCCTTCGCAGTCCCTGCCACATCAAACCTTTTTAATTGAGCAGCAGCTAATCAGCCTCGGTGGGACTGGTTCCTCTTCAGCTGCTGCCCCCAGGAGCAGCCCAGGGACAGGTTCTGCCAAGAGCTCCATGGCTTCTGCCCCCAGGCCCTGACAAAGTCAGTGTGTGCCCTACAGCCCTGCCTGTGCCATGCCAAGTGTCAATCATGTGGTCCAGAGGGGACATTTGGGGAGGAGGGGACATCTGGGGGATGCTGGTGGCCTCAGCGGTGAAGGGTGTGTGTGTCTCATGGTTCTTTGGTTTAACGGTTGATGCTTTCAGTGCTAATTTCAATGCAGGAGCTTTTGCCTCCTTGCTGCGGTGTCACTCAGGAATCCAACCCCGTGGCAGTGTCCTCAGAGGGATTTCCTTCATGTGCTTGTTTGATTCCCTTTCCCCCTCCCCAGTCACTGCCAGGTTCCCTCTCCTTGGGGCACCTTGATTGCGTTGTGCATTCCTCCCTTTTCCTGGGGACACGGAGTGGGGAGATGATGGCTGCAAGCTGTAGGACACCACTTGTAATCAGAGCCCACAAGGTTCCTGTTGCTGTCTGCTGCTCCAAAATCTGGATTCAGGGCTGGCTTTGCCTTAATTTGAAGCTGGGTGTGGGGATGGTAAATACCTCTGAAGCTCGTGGAGAAGTCTTGCCCAGTCATCTCTGTGCCTACAGAAAAATAAGCAGAAGATTTCATTAAAATCACTGCTTTGAGAGGTATTTCATCACCTCACACCATGAGGAGCCTCAAAGGCTCTGCACACAGGGTGGAAGGAGCGAGCCAGGAATGCTCCATGTGGGGATTTTCTACAGAGATGAGAAATCTTTCTGTGCCACCAACCCAAATAACACCTTTTCCAGAGCAGCTAAATTGAGGCACCTCGGCTGCCTGTGGGGAGGGAGCAGTGGCACGAGAAGTGACACTTCCCTGCTCCTTCCAGGCTCGAGACTTTCGGGGCTGCTTCACACTCCGAGTTTCACAGTTTGTGTTTGCCTCGAGATGCCTGTGGGTGTTTGAGGCAGGGCTGGATCTCCTCGGGGCACAGGGAGATGCTGGGAGGTGCAGAGATGATGCTGGGGGGGGTCACACATCCCTGAGGACATGGAGGGAACTTTCTCCACCCTGGCCCTGGGCTGTCACCAGGTCACATCATCCCTCTCTCAAAGGTGTTGAGCCCCAGCTTGCACCCAGCAGGTTGTGCTGCCCTCGTTGCTCTTCTGGGACAGGTATCACTCCAGCTCCTCTGATCATTAGGAACCTCTCCCCTGCTCTGTCAGCCTGTTTATTTCTGGCTGGTTTGTGTGTATTTATTTTTGTGCCAACGCCATCATTTCAGCTTCAAAAAGCTGTTCTACCTCTTTGCTACAGACCTCCTCCACCTGCAGTATTTATAAAGACCAATCACATCCTCTGCTTAAAAACCCTGAGTCCTAAAAGCCCTCAAGTCCTTGTCCAGAGCCCTAACAACAGGATGGTCTCATCCCTGTCCATGTGGAGCATCAGATTGTTTTCTAAAAAACTTAGCAGATGGATATGTTTTCTATTTTCCTGAGGCCCTTTATATGTAGATAGCGATGATTAAAATCACCTTGACATCCATCTTGCAGAAGAGGGACGTGAGGGGCCCTGGCACCCCCTGCCACTGCAGAAACAGCAGCAGGAGGAGCTTTGTCAGCCCGTGAGGGGCACAGGGGTGAGCTGGGGCCAGCCAGGATGGGGGAAAGTGCCCCAGCACGTGGCATTGGTGGCCTTGGTGCCTTTAAAAGCAAGGTCAAACCCACAGCACTGTCAGGAGAAGCGGCAATTAGTCTCAGCACATGCCAGCAGGGGAGGGACAAATTGGAGAACAGCGAGGGCTGTTAAAATTAAAGTTAATCTGTCACTAATCTCTGGTTGAGAAATCCGGGAGGGAAGAAGAATTAGGCAATGTTTGTGAGTGATGACTCGCTCTGAGAGGCGACTGCTGCAGAGGGGCTGCTGTTCAGCACTCAGAGCAGAGGTGGGGAATTCAGCAGGGATTCATCCTGCTTGGATTCAGGCCAGGGGAAGCTGTGCTCCAAGGGCTCCCTGCCCGTGAAATGGGTGGGAAATCTCCCAGTTTGGAGCTGTTGTTCCCAGGGTGAGCCCTGCACTAGGAATGGTCACGGCCCCAAGGCTGCCGGAGCTCCAGGAGGGTTTGGACAAATCTCTCAGGCATGGGCTGGGATTGCTGAGGTGTCTGTGCAGGGCCAGGAGCTGGGCTTTGATGATTCTGAGTGCAAAGCTGTCCTGCTTGCCCTTCCCACTGCTCCCTGTGCCTTGGGATGAGGAGGCTGGATTTGGGATTCCTCACAGATTCCCATGATGGCTTCTGGGTCACTTGGGTTGGATTTGCAGCAGCACCTGGGACTGGAAAGGACTTGGGCCTTCCCTGGGACTGGAAAGGACTTGGCCTTTCCCTGGGACTGGAAAGGATTTGGCAATTCCCAGGGACTGGAAAGGATTTGGCCCTTCCCTCAACACCCACAGGGACTCGGTGTGTGAGGGTGTCTGTGCTGGGCTCAGATCCAAGCCAGCCCCAAATCCTCGAGCCTTTGGTCACACCAGAGGCCAAGCAGGGCCCAGAGCAGGCCCAGAGTCAGCCCCAGGGCTCCCCACCACCTTTCCCTCCCTGTTAATAACAAGATTAACCCGTGACAGAAAGGAAAATCAATCCTTTCCTCCCAGCCTGGCAGCGAGAGGAGAGCCTGCCTCAGTCCCGGTGCACAGGAGGGAGCTGGGTGGGCATGGATTGCTCTGGAGGAGCTCTGGAGAGCCCCCTGCACCTTTGGGGTCACCCACTGCCTCTCACCCCACTAGAGAGGTTTAGAGGACACCAGCAGAGTGCTGGAACCTGATGGGACAGATGAGGAAAAGGAGGAAAAGGGCGTTCATAGGGAGCTGGCCTCTTCAGCCCCCGCTGTATCCACAAGGAAAAGCAGAGCAGGAAAAGCAGAGCAGGAAAAGCAGAGGCTCTTTTAAGGACAGTAAGAGAGCAGGAGTTTAATTTGCACGTTCTGAACGAGCTGCTGGAGGTGCTGATGTCCCTGCCCGGAGCTCTGAGGGAAGGAGATTAGGCTCTTGAAGTTAAAATTAGGTTTAGTGGAATATTCCTCCCCCCTGGCTGAAGGCAGTTGTGTCACAGCTGAATCACGATGTCCTCCAAGCCTGGGGGGAACTGGTTCCTGCCATCCATGCTGGGAATTTGGGTTTGCTGCAGCCACACTGATGCTTGGGTGGGTAAATTGGTGTGATGAGTCTGAATCAAGGGATTTGGAAGTGCTTAATTGTGGTAGTTAAGAGCTGGAAGAGGAGTCATGGAGCAGCACCACTGAGAAGGAGGCTTTGTCCCACCCAGGAGGGCTCCCAGCACCATTCTGGGAGGGACAATCCCACAGATTGGGGATTTCTGGCTAAGATGGACCCATTTGGTGGCATTTGGGGATAAAATTCAAGGCTTTGTGCCTTGCAAGGAGCTGCCCAGCTCAGCACTGCAGGGAGGACACGTGGGAAGGCAGCACAGGGCCAGGCTGGTGGCCCTGCAGAGCAGGTGGGGTGTGCACAGAGGGTTAATCTCTCTGCTGACCCGTTCTGGGGTTGTGAAGGTAATGGAGCATCCCTGAACAGGCCAGCTCCAGGACTGTCACTCAGCAGAGCCATATGGGCAGTGCCTCGCCCTATAAATCCCCTTATTGTGCTGTTTATCTCTCCAGATTGGCCACTGGCACGTCTCTGAAGGGCTCAGCATGGACAACAGGATCTTCTCCTCCAACATATCCGACAGCCTATTCAATACCACGCTCATTGTCACCACCATCCTGGTAAGGGAGGGGGGCACCTGCAGTCCCCATCGGGCCAGCCCAGCCCTCGGGGTGGGGTCATCTGGAATCCTGCTCCCTGCTCCTGCCCCTCAGCCCTGCACTGGGCTGATTTCACACTGCAAGTCTCCAATTACAGCCTGGGGGACAATTCCTGGCTGTGCAATTGAGCTCAGGTCGATGTTGCATATGGAAATGGCATTTGGTGGGTTCAGAGGGTTCGTATTTGATGGGTTCAGAGGGGGCTGGGATGGGAACAAGCTGCCAGTTTGCATCCAGCTCGGAATGGGGCTCTTGTCTGGTGTACAGCTGCTGAGTTGGAAGGGACAGTGGCCCCTTCTACCCATAAAATTATAAAAATTGGCCAAGATAGGCAGGATTTTTATGAAAACTTGGCATGTACAGGCACCACTGTCTGTATTGAACAGGTTCCCTTCCAGGTGCTGCCTGTCCAGTGATTTTTTTGCTCCTTCTTTAAAGACACCCAAACTCCTGCCTGTCTCCTCACAAAGTTTGTTGGAAAGGGGACAGACTGGAGAAGTGGCTCTGTGCCAGGAGAGATTGAAGTCTGGATGTCCTGCCATGACTCACTGGGCTGCTCTTGCACTTCCCAGCTGGACACAGCCCCCAAATCATCATCCCTCAGCTCTGCTTTGTGTCCTAAACCAGGATAAATCTGCACCTCCACACAGCAGGGAGCACCAGCGTGGAGACAGCTCTGAGAGCTCGGCACCACCTGAGCTCCCAAGCTTTCCTCATCCAGTTTGAGAGGGATCCATTGTGCTGGGATGTGCTTTTTGTGGTTAGAACTAGACTTTTTTAAGGTTCCTCCCAAACCCACCCACCGTGCGAGCTCTGGCACTGCCCTCCCTGCTCCGTGCTGGCGGGACACCTCGGCTAAGATGGGAATGACAGCTGCCCAGTTTCACTGCAGGAAAACCCTTACTTAATGCTGAAGTGGAACCACCAGGAGCTGGAGGGCAACGACCGCTACGAGGGTTTCTGCGTGGACATGCTGAAGGAGCTGGCGGAGATCCTGCGCTTCAACTACAAAATCCACCTGGTGGGCGACGGCGTCTACGGCGTGCCCGAGGCCAACGGCACCTGGACAGGCATGGTCGGGGAGCTGATAGCTCGGGTGAGTGGATCAGCTCCTCTTTTAAACTCGGCTCTGCTGGGCTTTGGCGCTGCAAAGCCCCGCCGTGCTTCGTGGTGGTGAGGATGGATGGGGTTTTGGTCTGTTTGGGAGGCTTGGAGCAGAGGGTTTGTGTGGTATTCATATTTTCTGAAAAAAATCCCTTCACTCAGGGTTTTTCTCCTGGGAAGGTGAGAAGCCTCAGAGAAAAGGAAAACAATATTATCTCATTTGCTTCTCCTGTGTTTTGCTCGTGTGGAATGTGTTTGGAGATTGTTTACCCACAGGTGATTGTTTGATTGGATTTCTGGTGTGAGTTGTTTTCACTCTTTGGCCAATCAGGGTCAAGCTGTGTTTGGACTCTGGAGAAAGTCACAAGTTTTCATTATTATCTTTTTAGCCTTCTGCAAGTATCCTTTCTGTATTCTTTAGTATAGTTTAGTATGGCATTCCTTAATATAATATAGTATCATAAAATTATAAATTAGCCTTCTGAGAACATAGAGTCAGATTCATCATTTGTTCCTTCATCTGGGGGAAACCCAAATGCAGTAGGATTGCACTGTGTTCTGATGGAAAATGTGTTTCCTGGGGTGGTGTGGCAGTGTGGGAAGAAGTCAGAGCAAGAGCAGGGCTGTGGGATGCTCTCGGGGGTGCTCACTTTGTTGGGAAGGAAGTTTGGACTCTGGGATCCCATGTAAAAACTCATTACAGAGCAGATTATTTTCCTGGTGGAAAGATTAATGAAAACTTGCAACATGAAAACTCAGAGCTTGATAGAAGCTGGAAAAATTTACAAAACCACACTGGGGTGGAAGACAGTAAGAATCCCATTTCTGCCTGGAAAAGTTTTGGCAGATTCAATTGAGCTGCTTAACTCGATGTTACTTTTGGAGAAGCACATTTCCTATTTCCTTGAAGTGCATGGCTTGAGATCTTTTTACTGCTCTGCTCTGTGGAGTTGCTGCCCAGCAGCAAAGCTGAAAACTGAATTATTTTGCTGGGTTTGACAATAATTCTGTGTACACCTGGGCTCAGCCAGCCTGGACCCTTCTCCCTGCTCTTTGTTTTCCTCTGTGATGTTTCCCAGGCTTCCTGAAGCTTAAACACAGCTCACAAACTGCTCTGAGATCCTTGGGAAAATAGGCTTAGCCACAGCTAAAGTGGGATTGATGCTATTTAAGCCAATACTTCCTCACTGATTCCTGCCTTGTCATTCCTGACGTGGCCCTGAGAGCCCAGAGCCACTTTCCCAGCTGGTGACAAATCCATGGTGACGTGGGTTGGTGATAATCCCCCCACTGTGGGAGAGGACACCCTGAGTCATTTGCCTTCTGCAGAGCAGAGGAGCAAGGGTCCAAACCCATCCCCTGGGGGTCCAGGCAGGGATCTGAGGCTCCTGCCAGATCCTTCCTCCCTGGAAAATGAGCATCACTTCACTCTGTGGTTTACTGGGCACAGTGGAATTTGGTTGGAAGTTGGGTTTGAGGATTTTGGAGGCTTTTCCATGGTTCTGTGGTCTTCAATGGGTTTGTGATCTCTAGAAATGCCCACTGGCACCTCCTGCTCCTTCCCCACATGGTGCAGGGCAGTGCTCATCCCACTTCAGGAGTTTCCACTGGGTGTTTGAGGTCCTTGAGGACAACTCTTTGCCTGGAAGAGGGAGGGATTTTGGGTTTCCTGAGGGTCACAGGCAGGGCACTGAACAGACTGGAGACTCCCCTGAGCTCTCCCTGTCTCTGGGGTCAGCCCTCCCTGAGCAGTCGCTCTCAACGCCAGCTGAGAGCCCGCCTCCATCTGCTGTCTCCAAAGAGCTTCTGTGAGGCTGTTTGCAAATGCTCCAGGCTATTGGCATCGTTTTTATCCATCTTTGTGTCTCTGTGTGTGTACACACACACACACAATTACACTCCTGCAACATTCCTTTGGGGAGGGAAGAGGGAAGGAGCTGAGAGCTCAAAAGAAGGGAACAGCCATCAAACTTTTTGGCCTGCTAACCTTGGCAGTGCCTCTTCATTAAATGGGACCTTCTGGAAGGTTTGTTTTTCTCCAGTGATGAGTATTATAACTTCATCTTCACACAGAAACCGTTTGTTTTTCCTGCAGCCTTATTTAGGAGGGTTTTTTGCTTCTGCAGGGCAGAGCTGTCAGAGCCTGTGAGGCTGGATCACAAATTGGGGGAGAGAAACAGCTTTGTCTCTTGTTCTCTCTATATCCCTGAGAGTTTTTATAATGGTTTCAGCAAGTTTTTGATCAATTCCAGGCACTGGGCTCAGGCCAGCCAGGGCAGAGCTGTGTGTCCTAGCTGCTGTGTTTATTCAGGGCTGCCTGGGATGTTGTTTTTTGAGGGCATTTCACTGCCCAAGGTGCTTCTGTTCATCCTTGATAGTCATTCCCCAAGGAGGTTTATCCTTGATTCCAGCCCCTTGTTCACACCTGTCCCATGGGATCCAGCAGATCTTGTGTTGGGTGCACATATTCCTTTTTCAGTGGATTTATATATTATAGAAATTACATATATATATATATATATATATTCTATTTTTACTCTGCCCTTTTAGGACAAAAAGGAGCACAAACCTCTCACAAAAGTGCCCAGTCCTTCCCAAAAATGAAAGCTCTGCCTCTGTCTAGCACAGTATCAGTACAGGAAAATAATTTTGCCTTGATCCTGATCAGCCATCAGAAAATAAGGTTTGACTCTCACTCAATGTGCAGGACCAAAAGGTCACAGAATTATCCAGCCGCCCCTGTAATCCCTCTGTGGCACGGGATCTCCTCAGAGCAACTCTAGGCTGTTTGGGAGAAGATGTTTCATTTTATTGCTTCTGAATTAACCAGCTATTGATTTATTCTTAAGCGCTGGGAATTCCATTACAGCTAATTGTGCACCCTGATATGATTGAGCAGCATGCTGGACAAACACAAATCTGTTGCTGGCCCAAATTCACCAGTACATATCTTATTGACCTGCTCACTAAACAGGTTGGGAGGTGAGGAAGAGGGGACTGGGATGGCTTGGGAATCCTGTGCTGTTTGTGATCAGCTCATGGAGGTTTGGCTTGGGAGAAGTCACCTGGAAGGACTCAGAATCACAGAATGGTGATCTAGTTTCAACCCCCTTTACACCTTCCACTACCCCAGGTTGCTCCAAGCCTCATCCAGCCTGGCCTTGGACATCCCCAGGGATGGAGCAGCCTTGGCTTCTCTGGGAATTCCATCCAGCCCCTCACAGGGAAGAATTCCTTCCCAATATCTCCTTCAGTTCCAAGCCTCTTCCTCTTGTCCTGTCACTCCAGTTCCTGATGAGGAGTCCCTCAAGCCCATCCTGCAGTGAGAGATGTCACAAATGCAGAAAAGCCTGGGCTAATTTGTCCCTCTGAGCATGCAGGGCAGGGAGATTGAGCACCCAGCTCGTTCCTGGAGTGAGCAGGGCACTAAAGCCACTCTCCCTGTCAGCCTTCCTGGCTCTGGCATAGACAAACAAACAAGGGAGAACAGCAAATCTTCTCATCTCCTCCTTTCTGGCATGGGAGACTTAAAGGGCATTTGGGCTGGAAGAATTACATCCTGCTCCTTGCTGCTGCAGTGCAGCTCTGGCTCAGAGTCCCTGATGGTGTCGGCTCTTCCCCTTCTCTCTCTCCCCAGCACATCCTCAAGCTGAAATGAATTCCCTGGCTGACTCAACCAAGGGATCAATTTTCACAGCCTTAGCCTTGTCCCACCATGCCTGGCTCGATTCTGGCCAGGATCAGTGGTGATCAAAGCTCTTTTTGAAGTGAGGGACATGAAATTATCCATCCTGTCCAGCCTCAGGAGCAGCAACACCAAGAACAGGGAAGCCCTTAGAGCTTTGGGGTGCTGGTTTTCCTTGCTGCTGGCCAGGCACTGCTTTCCCTTCAGCTGCTCCAAAGGGAATGGCAGGAAGGGGAAAGGAGGGAGAAGCTCTCCAGAGCTGGCAGAGTCCTGCTCTCCCCTCGCAGTGGGTGTTGGTGTGTGCAGAGAAAATCTGTGTGTGGGTGAAGGGAGGCAGGGGGAGATGTTTGCAGGCTGTGGTGGTGGCAGCTGTGACAAGGGGGCTCCAGGAGGGGGCTGTGGGTGGCTGTGCTAGTAGTGAGGGGACAGGCAGAGGGGTCTGCAAAGCACTGCTGGGAAATCCAGCCCAGGATGGGGAGGGTGCCGTGAGCTGGGCTGGTGTCACTGCTGTCCCTGCGTGCTTTGGGTCCCCATGCTGGTGCTTCACCTCAGCTGGCTTTGCCACAGGCAGGGTGAGCACCTGGCACAGGCTCTGTGCTCCCACAGAGCGGCCAGGTGAGGAGAGATGGGCGAGGGCAGGCTCGGGGCTGACACCTGCACTGAGTGCTCAGCCCGCCCTGGCTGGGGCTTGCAGGCAGAGCTGCAGCCTGCAGCGTTTCCAGGCTGTCACTTCTGATATGGCAGAACTCACACTTGTCCTTAAAAGGTCCCCAGACACCTGTTTGGAGTGACCCTCCTGCCTTTGAACGCAAGAACAGGCATCAGGGGTGGCATGGGACAGCAGAGAACCTCTGCAGAGAGCAGGGTCACCTCCAGCTGGATGGGCTTCCACTGGGGCCCCCCAGTGCTGCTGGCTCTGCAGTGCTGGGTCCTGAAGCTTGAACAGCTGTTTCAGCTTTCTGGGAGGCTTTTTGAGCACAGGGACAGTGCAGGAGAAGGGTTTGCTGCTGTCAGGGCTCAGTGGGCAGCACTGGTGACAATGCTGCTGCCACAAGCACCCAGGGGACGTGGCATCCAAGTTTCTGCTCAAGCCAGGGACTGCTGCTCCTGGAAAAGACCGCAGCCCTGTGCTCCCAGAGCTGTCTGGTTTGTTCTCCAGGTGTTTGACACATCCCCAGCCCCGAGCCTCGCTCCCTGCGCCGTGTCCCCTCAGCCTGGCAGAGGGTTGGGGTCTCTGTGGGGCCTCAGCTGGGCTCTTCTCCCGGCTGCTTTCTGCCATCCCATGCCGTGGGAGGCTTCTCTGGGATCTCTCCGGGCTGGGGCTGACATCAGGGCCCATTCATCACCATTAGCTCCGAGCTGAGCCCTGTCAGAGCCCGCGGCGAGGGGGCGGATGCCGCCTCTGGACTGGCAGTCCCTGCAATTTGCTCCTGAAGGATGCTTAATTGTTGTTCCTCCTCGGGAGCCCGGCTCAGCCCCCGTGTTTAATGTCCTTTCCAGAGCCCTGCTGCAGGCAGAGCCCACGGGAATGCCAGGTAGGGCGGTGGTGGTGGCAGCTTTTGTCTGGCACGCCAGCCCACCTGGGTTTCCTCTCACCTAGCGAGGTCTGGCCTTGCTTGGGCGGTGTGTTCTCAAGAGAAGTGGCTGTCTCCACTCCCAAAAAGCTCTGGGTCTTTTTCTAAGCCTATTTCATGCCAACATTTATAGCTGCAACTGTGCTGGCAGGATGAAAACCAACCCCTCTTCCCTCCATCCTTTGCCTCCTGTTTTTCCCTCTCCCCAGAGCCCAGACGTGGACAGAGTGGAGGGGCACAAAGCAAAATTCACTTCTCCTCCCGCAGGGCTTCCTTTGGCCCATAAAATCCCAACCCCTACCTGTGCTCAGGTGGGGAGGCCAGAGAGAACTCAGGTTTGCAGAGCTCCTCTGTAGCTCCACAGAGCTCAGTGCATCACCAGAAGTTTTGTCAGGAAGCAGAGTTGAAAGCATGAAATGGATGAAATTCAGGCAGAGAATTCTTTGCATGCCATTCCCAGATCAAAGTTTCCTGCTATCAGAGATCAGCTCTTAACTTGCATGACTGAGCCTGCAGAGAGAAGAGAGAGGGAATGATGAGGAGCTGGAGCTCTGCTGCAGAAATTTCTGCACCTCTGATGTGGCAGAAGTCCTGAAAAGTTAGCAGGGAATGAGCAGAAGGAAATAACTCTGATGGAATGGCAGAACCCCCTGGAGATGAGAGGAGGGAGCCGGGCAGAGTCTGAGTGAGGGGAAGGCTGTGCTGCGTCTCTGCTCTGTGGGCAGAGGGAGGGGATGGATTTGCAGTAGATTTTGTGTGGGGAAGAGCAGTTCAGGATGCTGCTGAGGATTCAGCAACACCAAGGTGTTGTTTCTCCCCAGAGAGCCCCAAAGTTGAGCAAACCTGGGGATGCTGCTGCTCCTTAAACGGCACCTTTATATTTACTGCTGGGTAGGAATGAAAATTTCCTGCAAGCTTTGGCATGAACCCCTTTTGCCATGGCATTTTAACCTTCTGCTTTAGTCTGTGGCTTTGCTGGTGGGACTGTGTTTAATTTGGAGGAGAATTCCATTGTCAGACTGAGCTGTGTCTTCAGCAGGAGCTTTGCTGGGAGGGCTCTGCCCAGGCCAATGGCACCTACAAACTTTTCAAGTAGAGAGAAGAGGGGTTTAGGAAATGGGAAAATGACACCTACAAACTTTTCAAGTAGAGAGAAGAGGGGTTTAGGAAATGGGAAAATGACACCTACAAACTTTTCAAGTAGAGACAGAGAGGCCTTTTCAAGTAGAGAGAAGAGGGGTTTAGGAAATGGGAAAATGACACCTACAAACTTTTCAAGTAGAGAGAAGAGGGGTTTAGGAAATGGGAAAATGACACCTACAAACTTTTCAAGTAGAGAGAAGAGGGGTTTAGGAAATGGGAAAATGACACCTACAAACTTTTCAAGTAGAGACAGAGAGGTTTAGGAAATGGGACAATGGCACCTACAAACTTTTCAAGTAGAGAGAAGAGGGGTTTAGGAAGCTTTAGGCTTTCCTCATAGATAAAATTCTCCACATGCCACGTTCCAGAGATGAACTGATCCCGTTTTAGTGATCTGCTGCTGTTTGCACAGGGCTCAGCTGCTCGCACACCACGCTGGGATTATTGGTGCCTTTTAAAAAGCCTGTGGGTAAATGTCTGGCTATGCAGAAATTCTCCTCAGCTCCTAATTCATTGCAGCCTGAACCTCTCAGGAATCTGTAAGAGCTGCTTGGAAACAATTCCAAAATCCTCCACTGAGCATGTCCAAGCAGCCCTGTGTGACCTGGGAGGTGTCACCTTCTCCATGACCCCTTCCTGGGCTCGTGGGTCACCTCCCCTTTCTTTTCCTTTTTCTGGTTCCAGCAGTTCCCTCCTGCAGCCCCAGGACCTCCATCAGGCCTGGTGGTGCCTTGGCATCTGCACAGACCTTGTCAAATTTAGGGGCAAAAAGTGCAAACAGCTTTTCTTTCTCCCCCATCATCTCTTTTTCCACATGCATAATCATCTTCCTGCAAAGGAGAGAAACAAATGGATAAGGGAGTGGAGGTTTCATTTTTACAGAAAGCAATTACAGACATTAAAAGAGCTAAAGTAATAAAAATAATATTTAAAATTCAAATCCCTTATCTATATTACAAGGGTTTTAACATGAGAAGGAGTTATTTTTATTTTTTTCTCCCCCTTAATCTCATTTGCTTTGCAGGTCAATCTGCAAACTTTAATTCCAGGCCTCTGATTTTTATTTTAGTTTTTTTAATTTGGAGATTGATCTCTAGTTCTGGAGGTCTGGGTTTGGCAGGTTTGTGAACTCCATGGCTCAGGGGTGAGGATGCTGCTTTGTGCCCTACCTGTGGTCCTTGCTTGTACCAGAAGGGACAGCTGTGCTCAGCAGGGAGAAGGGGAGGTTGTATTTTCTACAGATTAATATAATATTTATTGGTTTATAGCTCCAGGTTTTAATGTATTAAATGAATAAAAATGGCAATCAGGCTGTGAGCACTTGGGGGAAGGAGCTGCTCCAGCCTGAACGGGAAGGGAAAATGGGGAAAGGAAGGGAAAAATGGAGAAAGGGAGGGAAAAATGGAGAAAGGGAAGGCAAAATGGAGAAAGGAGGGAAAAATGGGGAAAGGGAAGGCAAAATGGGGAGAATGCTCCAGAGCACAGGGTGGGCTAAACTTTGGGGTGAGTTTGTGTGAAACCCAGCCAGGCAGAGTGGGGAGCTCCCGCTGTCCCACAGCGATGTCCCAGAGAGGAGCAGGGTCCTGTGTGCCCCCAGGTTTGCTGCTTTCCCAGGATTCTGCTGTCCCACAACAATGTCCCAGACAGGTGGCAATGTCCCCCCTGCAGGAGCAGGGTCCTGTGTGCCCCCAGGTTTGCTGCTTTCCCAGGATTCTGACCTTTTCCTGTCCCTCCTCCCTAGAAAGCTGATCTGGCCGTGGCGGGGCTGACGATCACGGCGGAGCGGGAGAAGGTGATTGATTTCTCCAAGCCCTTCATGACTCTGGGAATTAGCATTCTCTACCGAGTTCACATGGTAAGAGCCTGATTTTAGAGCCATTTATGCCCCTCCATTATTTGCATGCAAACCTGCCTGGTTAAAGGAGAATAATGAACGACTCATAAAAATATTTTGGTTTCTTATTTAAACGCAAATGTGCTCGACCTTTATTTCCTGCTTTTCTCTGTCTCTCTGCTGCGTGTCAGGATTGGTGAATTCCTTTCCTATTCAACCATCAGCCCTTTGGCTTCTCTGCCCACACTTCCCAAGGCACATGATGGATTTTTTGGCATGGTGAATGGTTTTAGAGTGGCTTTAAGTGGCTTTAAGGCCACTGAGTGAGGTGTGCTGAGGGCAGGTTTGGCTGGAGGGGTGCAGCAGCATGCTGGAATTGCAGAAACTTGGCTTGGAGTCACCATCCAGTTGGATTTAGTGGTAAAACTGGCTGGGAGGCTGAGCTGGGATACCTGTGGGTGCTCCTTGCTGGTGTTGGGGCCATTCTCGATCTCAGCTTTGCTCTCTTGCTGCCTTCTCCCACCTGAGCATCCCATCAGGAAGGAATCCTGGGCTTTCTTTGCTGTCACCTCCTGGAGGTGCTCTAGAGGCAGATCAGCCTCTGCTCTCCAAACCCCAGGGGAAATGTCCCTCCTGGGGCAGGCAGGGGCCAGGCTGAGCTCACAGCCCTGGGCTCTGCCTCCTCATTTGTTCACCCTAAAGAGCAGCAGCCCCAGGAACGCTCCTTAATCTCAGGGGGTGCTCTCAGCACAGTCGTAGCATCACAGAGTTTGTTCAGAGTTCCTCCCATGCCACCCCTGCCAGGGGCAGGGACACTTTCCCTATCCCAGGCTGCTCCATCCCTGTCCAGCCTGGCCTTGGACACTTCCAGGAACGGGGCAACATTTTTTTCTCTTTCAAAACAGGTGGGAATATTCCCAAGGGATTTGTGTGTGCAAGCATGTACGTGGTGTTGTGTGTTTGCTTAGCTAAACTTGTCCTAAGCTCCCACAAATCCTCTTTTATTTGCTTCCTCCATTGTTTTACCTTCTCCCTGAAGCTCAGGAAGGGCCAGGTCTCCCCCAGTCACTCCCAAATTTCAGGTGTAGCAGGCAAGCTCCTTTTGCAGCCCCAATCTGCACTTGTGGTGTGAGTGACAGTGCCTTGGTTTCTGTCAGCCCAACAATAGCAGCCAAAAGGAAAAAAACCCATTCAAGCTGCCTCTCCCAGCCCCCTCTCCACCCGGGAGGCTGTTAAGGATGCAGCGTTGGGGATGAACAGAAACAAATTCACGCCTCTATCTCTGTGCTGAGTGGCTCCTGCCAAGAGCAAACAAGTAATTAAAATCTAGTTAAAATTCTGCTTCCTCTGGTACGCGCAGAATTTAGGATCAATGATTTAACTGATCGCAAAGGAAAAAAAATTTTAAAAAATAAAAAAAATAAAAAAAAAAAGGGTTGACTTTTACAACTCCTGGAAGTCAAATGGAATTGTCCCTTGCCCACCATGGGTGGGTTTTCACATCAGCCTTGTGGAGCCAGGACCTTTTCCTGACGGTGTCTCCTAGGATTAAAATCAGATTTAGTTATTAAATACTCTGTTATTAGGAAGGAATTCTTCCCTGCGAGGGTGGGGAGGCCCTGGAATAGATTTCCCAGAGAAGCTGTGGCTGCCCCATCCCTGGAAGCATCCAAGGCCAGGTTGGATGGAGCTCTGAGCAACCTGGGAGACTGACAATTGTCCCTGCCCACCAAAAAAGGTTGGAACAAGGTGATCTTTATGATCCCTCCCAACCCAAACCATTCTGTGGGTGTCCTGCAGCAGAATCTCCAGCAATTCCCTGAGCAGCACTCCTCCCTCCAGGGGAAAAGCATTTGCTGCAGCCTCGGGGAGCTCTGCAGGATTTGTGACACTTCTGCTTGGGCTGGAGGTTCCTCAGGGCAGGGAGCATCTGCTGCCACCAGAGGAGCACAGCCCTGCCCTGCTCCGTGAGGCATCCACCAAACAGAGCAGGATTCATAATCCCAGACTCCAGAGGGGTTTGGGAATTCTCCTCCTGCCCTCAGCAGGGCTCCAGCCACTCCACAAAGGGGCTGGTTTGGATCTGAGCTGCCCAGGGACCCAGGCAGGGTTGCAAAGACATCTCCCAGGTGGGGTCACCCCACTGGGGGCAGCCAGGCTCGTGCTCTCCCCAGGGCAGGGAAGCTCAGAGCCCTCCCTTCCCTCTCCAAGCCTTGGCACCTCTTCCTGCAGACCTTCCCTGCTCAGCTTCAGGAGAGTGCCTGAGAGCTGTGTGGCAATCTAACTTCTCAAACTGGTAAATATTTGTTAAACCAGCCACTTCTGGTTTTCCTTTAAGGATGTGGTTTGCTGAGCAGCCCCACAGCCTTCTTCTCCCCACCCCAAAAACCACCTCTGCAATGTCAAAAATTGCAGCTGACGTGTGTTAATCACGGCTCGGATGAGATGGAGCCTAATAAATAACCACAAATGAGCCTCTTCCTCGCTGAGGAGCTCTCTCCACACCCTGGGCTCCTTCAAATGTGATGACATTTTATTTTCATTTCCATGTAGCTCCAGTGGCAAGTGATTTCTCACCCCTTTCTCCTCCCCACGCCGCCAACCCAGCCACCACAGAGCCTGTGCCTCTTATCACACATAACCAAATATGGCAGCTTTAACCAGGGCTGTCATTTTTCTCAATTTCTCTGCTTGTGATACAATCAAGGCTGGATTTCTGACACTGGAGCTCTAACAGGCTTCCTGACTCGCAGGCTGCCGAGAGGAAAGGCTTGGGTGGTTTCATCAGGTGCCCATCCTGCCCAGCCAGGGGGGTGTGGGGATGGCAGGAGGTGGATGGGGAGCCCTGAGCAGTCCCTGGGTTTGGCAGGGGCTGGAATCAGGTGCCCAGGGTCGTTTCTGCATGGAGGGATAAGTCAGGATGATTTGTGTCTTACCCATCTTTGCTCACATCTACTTCTGTGGCAGGGAACGAGGGGCTAGAGATGATTCTGGCTGCTCAGCCCTGAAAGTTTTTGCCTTCAAAATGAGGAAATGGAGGCTGGGAGAGTGCACAGCTACAGCTGAGTTTAGGCCAAGTGAGCTGAGCCTTAAAGTGTTTCGATTTGGTTGCTGCAGAGGAAACAAGATGGGAAGGATGGATGGAAAAACTCCTTCATTCCAGCCAGAGGAGGCTTGAGAGGGGCTGAGAGGAGCTGAGCCCCCACCTGAACCTCTGCCAGCAATGATCCCTCCCCACCAGAGCAGAGTGGGGACAACTGCTGGCCCCAAGAATGTATTTGGTGATTGTGAACCATGTGGTGGCTCCAAATGAGGCTCGAGGTTCAGAGCAGCCTGTGCAGGGCTTTTACTGACCCAGAGGAAGAGGAGGGATCTGGATGTGCCCCTGGAGCAGGGGTGGCTGGCTGGGATGTGTCCTGGTTCCGTGCCCTGTGGCTGGACCAAGCACACATCAGCATTTCTGCCTCCTCAGGATGAGTTTTCTTTCCCTCTGACTTCCAGAGGCAGGAGAGAGTTCTCTGCCCTCGTTTTTGAGGGGAAACACTTGTGAGAAATGGCATGGATGGGGCTGAATGGGGTCTCTCCAGACTCTGCCTGTGCAGGGCAGGGAGTGCTGAAAACAACAAATCCAGGGCTGTCCTCTCCTTCCCAAATGTCCCCCTTGTCCAAGCTCTCCAATCACCAGTATCTGCCCAGCAAACTGCTGCTCACTGACTGGAAAAAATTAAGATTTCCAAGAACAATTTAGGAGGAGGGTAAATTAATCTCTCCCACATCCATCTGAGGATTTGCAGGAGGCCTTCATCAATTATTGGACATTTTGAACATATCTATTCCAGGAAAAATAGCTCTTCCAATTAACAAAGCTCTATTGGGACTGCCTAAAAATATCTGACAGACTCCAGATATTGTCATTCCCATCTTCAAAACAGACAGATAAGAGAGAGTTTGTGCCCTCCGTGGGAACAGAATATCTTTATTCTTACCCACAACTGTGAATGAAAAGAATATGTCCCAGCAGCCTGGAAATGACTGGAGCTGAAAAGAACCAGAACTACTACAACTGTAAAGTCACAGGAGAGATTCACTGCCAAGCTGGAGATTTAAAGCTTCCAACGCAATTTCCTTAATGAGAGTAATTTATTGACAAACTGCCCCAGAAATATAAAGAAGACATCAAGGCCTTAATTGCAGAAAGGAACTTTGTCACGGGAGCATCTCGCAGGGGGAGGCTGAGCCAAGGCTCTGCCAGGGCCTGTGAGCTCCCTGCCAGCTCTGGGGTGCCAGGCAGGATCATTCCCTGCCCTGCCTGGGATGAGGAGCTCCAGGAGCTGCAGCTGGCTCAGCAGCCTCTGCCCTTCACACCTCGCTGGCTCCCTCATTGCATCCTTGAGGAGGAATGAAGAGTTACTGAGCTGCTTGAGCTGCTGAGGAAGAGGGGAACCAGGGTTGGAGGGGCATCCAGGAGAGGCAGGAGGGGGAGAGCTCTGGCAGTGCCACCCTTTGGCAGTGCCGCCCTTTGGCAGTGCCACCCTTTGGCGTGGATCCTCTGGATGGGATCAGTGGGAAGGGCAGAGGGAACACCCCGTGGCACCTGCAGGAGGTGCCCTGGCCTCTCTGGATTAGGGAGAGGAGCTCCAGCAGGGCGAGCAAAGGCTTCTCCTGGAGATGGGATGCAGCTTCCTGCAGATTCTGTGGCTCTGAAAACCAGAACACAGCAGGAGCTGACCAAAAAGTTGGGAAAGGACACAAAAAATGTGGTGTCTTCCACTGTTTGTACCTCACCTGTTGAGAGGAGATAACCTGGAATAGAAGAGAGACATTGCCTTGAGGAGAGACTCTGGAATTAAACCCAGGAGAACCTGAACTTTTCCTTGGGAATTGACTGAAAGTTAATCTGAGAACCTGAACTTTTCCTTGGGAATTGACTGAAAGTTAATCTGAGAACCTGAACTTTTCCTTGGGAATTGACTGAAAATCAATCTGAGAACCTGAACTTTTCCATGGGAATTGACCGAAAGTTAATCTGAGAATGGGTGCTGAACCACTGGTCCTCAACTCACCCATTTGCTAAAAGCCTTACCAAGCCAGATTCTCTAAAAATGCTCATCCCAGATTGCTGAAAATTAATCTGAGAACCTGAACTTTTCCTTGGGAATTGACTGAAAGTTAATCTGAGAACCTGAACTTTTCCTTGGGAATTGACTGAAAATCAATCTGAGAACCTGAACTTTTCCATGGGAATTGACTGAAAGTTAATCTGAGAATGGGTGCTGAACCACTGGTCCTCAACTCACCCATTTGCTAGAAGCCTTACCAAGCCAGATTCTCTAAAAATGCTCATCCCAGATTGGTTTGGCTTGGAAGGGACCTCAAAAACCCTTTAGTTCCAGCCCCCCACCACGTGCAGGGACAGTGCAGATCCCAAAATCTCGTCCTGAAGGATCCAGGCACAGGTTGTTGTGGTGTGCTGGGTTTTTCCTGCATGCAGGGTCTGCTGGGGAAGGTTCCTGACACGTTACAGGTTCCCAGATGGTGACTGGAGCTGAGGATTTCACAGGCTCCTGGATATTTTTAGCAGAGGAAGATTTTTGTGCAAACAACTGTTGCCTTTTCTAGCAACAGCTCAAGCCTCCAGGAGAAGTGCTGAGACCTTGTGAAATTCAGGTTTTGCATAACATTCAGTAGTAAAACAGCGAGGTTTGGATGGAAGTGGAATTTAAAATGCTGGTCTAAGTTTGGGGAAAAAAAAAAAAGCCTTTTTTCAGAGCTCTGCCTCGTGGGAAGCTTCCCAGTTACAGGTGCTTGGGAAAGATGTGGAGCAGTTTTAGGGATGCCAGGACTGAATTTGTGGTTTGGGACAGAAAATACAGGTTTCTGTGAGCTGTGGGATCATGTCCCTTGTGCCTTGGGTGTGCTTGAGCTGCTCTTGCCTTTCAGAGGAGCTGCATCCACAGAGCTGGTGCTGACAGGAGAAATGCACCTAAAATGGGAGGTGTTTGGCTTTTGAGAAACTTCTCCAAAAAATTATTCTCCCGCTTTTGCACAAATTTGGTGACACTTGACAATTTTCTGGTGGTGGCAGCATCCTTGTGAAAGTTTAAATGCTCTGGGAGAAGATCAGCCTGCTTTTTCTAGCAGTGAAGCCTTATTTTTTTCAAGGAAAGGTGGTTTGCTGAGGAAAAAACAGGAAATTCTGACGCATCCTGGAGATAAAAATATCTTGTTCCCTGAGATAAAAGCAATAATTTTATTGGGGTTTTTGTAAAAGAAGAAACTTTGCAAGGCCAGAGAGAGAAGTTTTGAAAACATTTTTCTTTTTCCCTTTTGCTTCACAAATATATTTCCCTGTGAGCTCAGGTGGAGCTTTTTCTGCCCAGTTAAGTGTGGGGTGGACAAGGATGGGGGGACCCCCCTCAGGGCTGGGGGTGCAGCAAACCCTGCCAGGAAGGGACAGAACGCTGTGATTGCCTCATTTTTCTCTCAATTCACCTCTTTCTTTGCCTGGAGGAACAAAAAAGGGGAGAAAAAGAGATTTAGGGGATGAATCCTGTGGGGAGAAGCTGCAGGACTCAGTCATTTGTGGGGTGGCTGTCACTCGTTTGCCCTGCAAGGCTGTTCCAGAGCCTCGTTTATCCCCCTTCTCCTGTTTATTTCTCCTCTCCTGTTTATTCCTCTTTCTCCCATTTATTCCCCCTCTCCTTTTTCCTTTATTCCCTTTCTCCTTTTTTGCCCTTCTTTTTTCCCATTTATTGCTATTCTCCCATTTATCCTCTCTGCCCCATTTATCCCCTTTCTCCCATTTATCCTCCTCCTCCCGTTTACCCCCCTTCCCATTTTTATTCCATTTTCTCTGATTTATTTCCCTTCTTCCATTTACCCTTTTTGCCCCATTTATCCCCTTTCTTCCATTCATCCCTTTCTCCCATTTATTTCCTTTCTTCCACTTATGCCTCTTCTCCCTTTTATCCCCTTCGCCTTTTTATTCCCCTTTCTCCCATTTATCCCCTTTCTACTGTTTTTCCCTCTTCTCCCATTAATCCCCTTTCCCCCATTTCTCCCATTTCTTCCCCTTCTCCCATTTCTTTCCCATTTCTCCCATTTATTCCCCTTTCTCTCATTTATCTCCCTTCTCATTTTTATTCTTCTTTCTCCCATTTATTCACCTTCTCCTGTTTATCCCTTTGGCCCCATTTTGCCCCTTTCTCCCATTCCCCCCCCCTTCTCCAATTTATCCCTATTCCCCTTTTTATTCCCATTCTCCCCATTTATTCCCCTTTTTCCCGTTTATCCCCTTTCTCCCATTTATCCGCTTTGCCCCATTTCTCCCCCTTCTCCCATTTATTTCCTTTCTCCCATTCCCCCCCTTCTACCATTTATCCCCATCCCCCTTTTTATTCCTATTTTCCCATTTATTCCCCTTTTTCCCATTTATCCCCCTTCTACCGTTTATCCCTTTTCTTCCATTTATCCTCTTTTCCCCATTTCTCCCCCTCTCCCATTTCTCCCGCTTCTCCCATTTATCCCCTTTGCTCCATTTCTCCCCATTTTCCCATTTATTTCCTTTCTCCTATTTCTCCCCCTTCTCCCGTTTATCCCCTTCTCCCGTTTATCCCCTTCCCCTTTTTATTCCCATTTCTCCCACTTCTCCCCTTTCCCCCATTTATCCATTTCCCTCCTGCAGTGCCACCAGTGCAGGTAATTTCCCTCGTGCCCTTCCAGGACTATTTCCACCTCCCCAAACCCACCCAGCTCCAACTCCTCCTTTGCTTTTTCCCTCCCCAGGGCCGCAGACCCGGCTACTTCTCCTTCCTGGACCCCTTTTCTCCGGGCGTCTGGCTCTTCATGCTGCTCGCCTACCTGGCTGTCAGCTGTGTCCTCTTCCTGGTGGCTCGGTAATGTGGCGGTGCCTTTCCCTTCCTCGCGGTGCCACCTAGTGTCACTGCAGGCCTGGGGAGAGGGCACTCCCAGGGGGACACGGGGACATCCATCCTCTGCCCCCCAGCTCGCCGGGATGGGCTGGCAAAGGTCCCAGCCCTGTGCCAGCTGGGCACTGAGGTTTGTCACCGTGTCCCCGCGCTGGGATGGCCATCGTGCCCTGGTTCAGGATGGTGGCGCCCAGAGCTGGGTGGGAGAAGGTTTTGGTGTTGTTAAAACACTGCCTCTGATGTTTTTGTCCCGAGCAGGGAGGGTGGAGGATGTTAGGAACCTGCAAATCCATTCTGAGGTGTCGACAGGAATTCCACCAGTGCTGCCTGGCTCCCCAGTTTGTGGAGGACAGGGAAGCTCGTGACTGTCTTTGAGTGCAGAGCCTGGCGTGGCAGCTCTCAGCTCCTTCCCCCGTGACCAATCTCAGTCAGCCTCAAAACCCCTCGCTGTGTGCTCGCCTCAGCACAGCCCCTGGGCTGCAGGGCTGCTCTCCCTGCCTGCCCACAGCCCTGGGCAGGGGCTGCCACAGGCACAGTGGAGCTGTGTCCTGGCCCCAGGGCTCCACGGCTCTTTGGGGACCCCTCAATGCCCAATTGCACAAACTGGGGCTGTGCTGTCACTGGCTCCCTCAGCATGGCTGAAGTTGTCACCCTGACAGGGCTTTAATGGGTTCTTCGAGTGCTGTTGCAGCCTCAGAAATGCAGGTCTGGAGAAACCATTGAATTACGCACAGCTGGTGCCTCTTTAGCCCCTTCCTCATGTTTTAAATATGATCCTCCAAAAAGGTGCCTTTACCCAGCTCCCCTCTGGAGAGGGAGCTTGGCTGCTGCTCCCTGCCTTGCTCAGCAGGAAGGAGCTCTTGACCCTGAGAGTGGCAGACTCTCCAGAGCACTGGGGTTTGCTGCCAGTGCTTGATCCACCATGGAAGGTCTGCAGGAAATAACCTCCTCCTCCTCCTCCCTGGCACCACAGAGGGAGAGGAGGTGCAGGGATGAAAAGAACCCCCTCATTCTGGCTAAATAAGATGTGAGCTGGCACAGCCCTGCAGCTGTGCTGGCAACAGCCCCAAAATGACCCCCCCCAGGCCCCAGCTTTCTTAGCTAGAGCAGTATGCAGTGCAGCACATCAATTAGCAGACTTTCTTAGCAACCAGGCAACTGGAAACAGCAAAAGAGAGGGAGAGCTGCAGTCACCAGCAGTGACAGGCTCAGACATTTCCCATTCCCACCTCTGTCCTGTCCCTGAAGGATGGGATGCTTTAAAACACCAGCACTCAGCTTCCAGCTCACCTCAGACCTTCTCAGAACAACCCTTTGCACCAACAGAGTTTTTCTTGATGGTTTAATGCAGTCAGGGCTCAAACACTTCACTTTTGAACTTCCCATCAGTGCTCGTTGCTCGTGCTCCAGCAGGGAGCACAGCCAAAGATGTTTGATTTCTACTTCCCATCAAGTCCGTGCACATCTGGAGCTCCTGCTGTGGTGTGGATCTGCACTCAGGGCTGCAGGATGCACGCAGAGCTGCCCAGAGCAGAGCCTCTCAAAGTTTTTGCAAATCTTTACAAGAAAGCCTCTGGCTCCTGAGTCTTAGAGCGAACGTTTCACACAGCTCTGAGCCCTGGGCATCAACTGACAGCAAAGCATTTCCTCCTCAGAAAACTCTGCCTCTAGGAGAGCTGAAGCTTCACAGCTTTTCCCTCTTTTTTTGTTTTTATTTTTTAAAGTGTCCCATTTCCCAGCGCATTCCCTGAGCTCTCCTTTTCTTGTCCTTTCAGGCTGACACCGTATGAGTGGTACAGCCCCCACCCCTGCTCCCAAGGCCGATGCAACCTCCTGGTGAACCAGTACTCCCTGGGGAACTCGCTGTGGTTCCCGGTGGGGGGGTTCATGCAGCAGGGCTCCACCATTGCCCCCCAGGCTCTGTCCACGCGCTGCGTCAGCGGAGTCTGGTAAGGGGGGCAGCCCTTCCTTTCAGGAAGGTTTCTCTGGCAGAGGTGGGGGTGGAGGAGGGATTTCCTCATGGGAAGGGCTGTGGGACTTTGGGAGGGGCTGCCCAGGTGGAGGTGTTCAAGGATGTGGCACTCACCTGCCTGCATGACACTGTGATGGTTTTGGAGGGAGTTTGCAGCCTCAGTGATTCTGTGATTCTGTGATGGACGTGCAGATTTCCTGAGGGAAACCACACCTTCCCTTCCCTCCCCCTAGGTGGGCATTCACCTTGATCATCATCTCCTCCTACACGGCCAACCTGGCAGCATTCCTGACCGTGCAGAGGATGGATGTGCCCATCGAGTCCGTGGATGACCTTGCTGACCAGACAACCATCGAGTACGGCACCATCCACGGCGGCTCCAGCATGACCTTCTTCCAAGTAAACCCCATTTTTTTGGCTGCCTGGGGGGCAGGGGGAGCACAGGGCACCCCTCAGTCAGATTGGGGTGTCCCCTCAGCCCGCTGTGCCCCTGTGTCACTCCAGTTGCTGGCACGAAGGGGAACATCTGGAGAGATCCCTGCACAGGATGAATGGTGGGAGAGGCATGGTGGAGGACACAAAAAGGGATTTCAACAAGGAATTCAAATTTTCACGGGTCTCCATGTGGTTTTAGCTTTTATTTGAGAGTCTTTCAGGTGGGATAAGCAAAGAAACATTTGCACAGCCCGGGCAGGCTCGCAGAAGTCAAAGTGCTGGAGCCTGTGTGAGGTCAGTGGCACTGAAATAAGTCAAGTGTATGCAAAGTTATGTGGGCCATTTAGCCCAATTTAATTTTTATCTTTCCTACTCTGCTCAGAAGGGAAATAAATGAGTGAATATTTTCTGCAGCACTCTGAACACACAAAGAACTGCTTGAGGATTATTTATTTATTTACTGCTTGTTGAAATTCCAAAAGGAGAGAAAGCTTGTTCTCACTCTTTCCCCCCACTCTGAGTCTGAACTGAATTTGGAAGGCTGGGAAATCTCTGGAGTCAGCCTGAGCTTTTGAGCCCAACTTTATGCTCTTCAGGGGTATGGAAAAGAGCTGCTTTTAAGCCAAACATTACATCTAAAATGAGCTGAGCAGGGCCTAAGTGAGGGAGGTGGTTGTATATGTGTGGCTCACTTGAGGAAAGCTTTCAAGTTTAAACCCCTGACTGTCTCTGCGCTGCCTGGCAGTGAGGAAATCAGAGAGGAAATTAGGAAAAGAGGGTTTTGTCCCATTTGTGGTGCTTTAAACTGTGTTGGGATCCATTTGCCTCTGGTGCAAGGATGGGGAGGATAAAGTAGTGATGAATAACTGCTTCCATCCCCCCTCCCTTCCTGGGTGCATGAAAGAATGTTTGTCCCCTCCTGAGGCACCTTGTCCTGGCAGTGCTTCCCCTGACACTGACACGCAGTTTAAGGTCTAAAAATGCAGTGAAACAGAACCAAACCCCCCTGCTCATCTGTCTCCTGCCCAAGTGGCTGCACCCAGAGGACAGAGCTGGACAGATGAGGACAGGAACTGGGTCAGCAGCAGATTCCCTGAGGCTCTCCAGCATTGCTCACCAGCCACAGAAAACGAGCCCTTGACAGTATGAAAATCCTCGTGTAGAGCAGGGTGTGTTTATATTCAGTCTTTGTGCAAGCAGGTTTCAGTCTCCGCTCAGCACAGGCAAGAGAGATTCATCATTCTCAGCTTTCTTTTCATCGGACCAAGGTGGTTCAGCCAGCAGCCAGCTCTGAGGGTTTGGAGCTGGCTGAGCTTTGGTTTATTGTAATCAATGACAAAAACCCCAGTTCTTTTCAGCAAGCACTTTAACTTGCCTCACAGGGGGGTGAAACAAATCTGGATTATTTTTTAAATTAAATTTGTGAGCAACAATCTCCAGAGAGATTTTGTGCTGTCCCCAGCCCTCAGTGCCCTCCTCAGGGTGCTGGAGTCTGTCTCTGACACTGAAGAACTGTTGGGACAGTGTTTGGGGGATTGTCAGTATGGGGGGAGCACCCAGAGGATTCAATCAACCAAGTTATTTCTTCAGGCATTTTTTGTGTGTTTTTGATACGTGGTCACTGAAATTATGATTTTTTCTAAAATTGAATTTACACAAAGAGTTTTGCCAGACCCCATTGGAATTGGGGCATTTCATGCCCAGCTTTTCCAACAAACTCCCAACACATTTGGGTCTCTTTGAGATAAACAAAGATGAGGCACCAAAATCCTTCCTTAATCTGAAACCACATTTGATTTCTCTCTCTATTGTGGCCTTTCCGTAGCAGCGCCTGTTATGGGGGTTTAATTTTAGGGGTTTGTTCTGATTTGAAAGCAAAACCAGTGAGAGACTCCAAGTCAGAAATACAATTTATTAGGAAAAGAAAAAATAAAACCAAAATAGATGCAACAATACAAAAGAAAAAAACACTGACAACATCAGAATACAACCTGACACCCTGTTGGTCAGGGTGTTGGTAGCAGTCCAATTGGAATTGTGGCTGCAGTCCTCCTGGAGTGGCAGATGTGGTTCTGTTGGAGCAGGGATCCTGTAGAAAGGGTGTAGTCTTCCTCTGAAGATCCAGTGGAAAATACAGCCGTTCCTCTGGGAATCCAGTGGAAAGACTCTCTGCTCTGTCCCAAACCCCAGATTATATCCAGGTAGGAATGCTTAGCTCCTCCCCCCTGGGCGGAGCATCTCACAGCAGGCTGTTACCATTCTCTGGGTCCATTAAACAGAAATGGCTTCTGGAGGGAATTATCTCTGAGTCATTGGCAAGGCATTGATGGGCCCATTAACAGGAGATAAGGAAGAAACAATGCCCCTCTTGGTTTCAACAGCTCTTGACAATGGGAATAGAATATATCTTAATATTGTAACCTAGCACAGGACCTAATTTACCCCAGATCTTCTCCCTGAGCTGTGTCTGCCTTTTTTCCCCCCACAGAACTCCCGCTACCAGACGTACCAGCGGATGTGGAATTACATGTACTCCAAGCAGCCCAGCGTCTTCGTGAAGAGCACGGAGGAAGGGATCGCGCGCGTGCTGAACTCCAACTACGCCTTCCTGCTGGAGTCCACCATGAACGAGTATTATCGGCAGCGCAATTGCAACCTCACGCAGGTCGGGGGCCTTCTGGACACCAAGGGCTACGGGATTGGCATGCCCGTCGGTAGGCAGTGAAGAACAATTCTAGTCCTTCTCGGCTGTCGGCAGAGGACCGGAGCGTTCCAAAGGCTGCGCCGGCTCTAAAAGCCAACGTTGCATCTCACAGGGTCCTTTTTATTTCTTACCTGCTGCCCGTGCTCAGAGCCAGATGTGCAAGACCCTGCTCTGGTCCAGAGCCAGATGTGCACGACCCTGCTCTGGTCCAGAGCCAGATGTGAGACCCTGCTCTGGTCCAGAGCCATGTGAGACGCGACCGCGGCTCTTTCAATGATTCATGTGAAAGATGTCTCAGAATTGCTGCTTGTTTTCTGCATACCTGCTCTTTGCTGTTTCCTTCCCCAACCAGTGTTTGTGCATCGTTTTGTGCTCCTTGTTTTAATCCCAGAAGTGATGTCAAAGTAATGCTGTGGTAATTCTGGTAGTTTTTAGCAGGAATGTCTTAACAGCTGGTGGTTTTTGAAACTGCAGGCCGGAGACTTGGGTGATTCAGGGGCTCTCATCAGGTTTAACAAATGCAGGGGTATTATCTTTCAAATGTATGAGCTCACAAGAGAACATCACCACTAAATAAGGGTTTAGTTGTTATTCCAAACGATCCGCTGGTCTTTTGGACAGCCTAGAAGCCTTGTCCTGACCTTTAAGCCCTGGCATTTAGCAACACAAAGTTGAGGTGGATTACATAAGGCCCCCGTCACAAAAACAGCCACTCTAGTTTAGGGAACATGGGTAAGCTTGTAAAGTCACAGCAACCTGATCAAAGTGAGTACAAATCCCTACCTTCAGGGCTAAATTTGTTCTGACATTGTCTTGTTAAACAGTGAAACCGTAGCAGATAAGAGGAGCAGAAAGCTGCAGGCTGGGACAATAGTGCAGAGTTACTGGGAGAAGCAGAGTCTTTCCCATGGCCCTTCCTCAGGATCTCTGGTGGCAGACAAGGATTTCTTGTACCAGACAAGGATCTCTGGTGGCAGACAAGGATCTCTGGTAGCAGACACTGGGACTGCAGCAGAGCTCCATGCCCAGCACAGGACTGAGCTCCTCCAGCACGGACATTTTGGCTTCCATGATCCTTGGGCTCCTTCCAACTCAGGGTTTCTACTCCAGGGTGACCAGTTTGAGGGAAGGAATGTTAGAACAAGGTTGAACTGGAGGTGGAATGACAAGAGAGGGACCTCCATGGTCTGCAGGAGCAGGATACTGAACTGCTCATTCAAAGCCAAAGCTCCCCTTGCCATGTACCTGCTCCAGAGGCCTGTGTGGCTCCTGGTGGCCAGGTAAAGTCACCTTCTGCAAGTGACATTAACCAGGTGACATTCCCAGTGGGGTGGCTGCAGCTTTCCATGGCTTGCATGGACTGACAGCCCCTCCAAGCCACCCAGAGAGGAGCTGTGCTAGCTGGGCACGCTGGGGTGGGGCGAGTGGCGAGGATGATGATGGGGAGGAAGGTGGGGCCCTACCACGTCCCTCTCGGCGTTGCAGGCTCCGTGTTCCGCGACGAGTTCGACCTGGCCATCCTCCAGCTGCAGGAGAACAACCGCCTGGAAATCCTGAAGCGCAAGTGGTGGGAAGGAGGGAAGTGCCCCAAAGAGGAGGACCACAGAGCCAAAGGTAAGCCCTGCACTCCCAAGGGACCAGGCACAGAAACGTCCTGGCCAGAGGTGCAAGGATGGACACCCAGCTGCATGTCTGCCAGGTTTTCTGCCTGGGAATCACTTTTTCCCTTTCTCCTGACCTGAGATTCCTTCCTTCACAACTCAAGGAGAAAGCCAAACAGCTCCGCTGTGCCTCACGCTGTGTGTTTTTGCCTGGGGCAGAGATAGCGGGAACAACCAAATGACAAATATTGGAGGCATATGGAGGGTAAATTAGCTTCTAATGAATGTCTGGGAAAATGGATGGCTGAAGGGATCAGACCAAAATCCTGGGTTCCTTGAAGGGAGATGGATCTCCACCACAGGCCCGCTGGTTAATGGCTCCAAGTGAAAGCGTCTTTTAAACAGCCAGGAAAGGGACACAAGGACTTTATTAGTACATTTGTAAACTGAGGAGCAAATTCTTTTGGGTAATGCTATGCAAATTGCCATAAAAGCCACCACATTAGGCTGATGTCCCAGCATGAGAGCAGTTGCCAGCTTAACACAGTTGCTGCATTTTTTAGTTTTGGCAGCAGCCCTTTCCTCAGCAAGTGTTTTCTGCGAGGGCAGCAGGCCCCCCAGTTAAAAGCACAGCCTTGTGACCTTTGTGGGAGCAGAGAAAAGAGCCAAGCCAGGGCTGGGGAAGCTCTTTTGGAGTTCTGACCTTGCAGCAGGTGTAGGTGTGTGTGTCTGTGCCGTTCCTGCTGGCACCCCATGGGGCTGGGAGGTCATGCTCACTTTTGGGCAGTGCTGCTCTACAGACAACCCCAGTTATTTATCTTCAGGCTGAAGGTGTAAGACATCAGGTTATTGCTATTAAATGAGTTACTTTTGAAGGTGGAAGGTTTGGTTTTTTTTTCCCTTGGACTGTGCCCAAAGCAGCTCTAAGGTGGAATCTGTTTTGAGATGGCTTTGGAAGGGGGAAGCTAGGCTGTTTCTGGCACTACCCAGCACAATCTGTGACCCTGGGTAAGTTTTTCTGCTGTTCCTATGTTCCTGTTTTGTTCCCTGTGCCATGGCTCACTTCTTCAGTTTGGGAGATGAGGAAGGTGTAACTGCATGGAGAAAGGAAATATCTCACAGTGAGCTTGGGTGTCTGAGGTGGCACCCAGACAGAATGAGAGGAGGATGTGTAGAGAGAGATACAACCCCTAAATTCACACTTGTGAGCTGCTGGGTGGAGTGGATGGCCTTTACATTTGGGTCTGAATTGTGATTCTGGGCTGTTTTATCTGCCTTGCCATTGCTGTGGAAGCACCTCTGCAAAAGTCTCTGATTTACAGACTCCCTGCATTGCTCTGGGGGTGTTGCCAAAAGAATGACGGAGGAGGAGGCAGAAATGTGACCTGCTAAGTTTTAGAACAAAACAGGTCAGCGATTTACAAGGATTTTGGTGAGGTTTTATGTCTAAAAGCCACGCCGAGATCAAGTCAATAAATCATCTATTCTTACACTTTGATTTAATGCTACAGGAGGGAGAGGAAGATTTTTATAGATGTTCTTGTTGAGTAATGGCCTCACACAGCCAACCCAGGGCAGAGCACATGTTTTTTAGTAATCAGTCCAATCAGGGACCCAAACCAAACACAGGAGACAGGAACCACATCCCAGGACAGCAAATGTTGAGGTCAGCTCATCTCCCAGGCAGATGGAGGCACAGTTTTGGGGACCAGGGCTGTGGTGGCGAGTGAAGTGACGGGCTCAGCACATGGAAAGCTCAGGTTTTTCAGGGATGGATTTTCCTTCAGCTGGTGGAACTTTCTGGAATGCAGGCTGGGCAGGCATGGTGGTCATCCCTTAGGAAGTGAGTTGTGGGATGAGGTGGGATGAGCTGTCCATGGAAGGGGCTGTTCCCTCCTCATGGGCCAGGGGTGCTGGGCAAACACCCAACCCACAGCCAGGTTCCCCAGGGTGGCAGGGACCCCATTTTGTCACCCTGTAGTGACACAGCATCCTGCTCCTGTTTGGAGCCTCTCCGTTCCCACTGCAGTCCGAGCAGCCGGAATCATTTTCCTGCAGCACTTTGTGATGCAATCAAAGGAGCTTTTCCTGCTGCCACCTTCCTTTAAATCCCTTCCCTGTCTCCTTTATCTCTGCTCCTTTAACAACATTGCTCCTCTTCCTTTTCAAGTTCAAAGCCACTGGAGCTTGGTGAATAATTTGCAGGGATTAATGTGCCCCTTTGATCCCACTTTTTTCCCTTCCTGTTTTCAGTTTGTCCACAAATTGCTTTGTGCTTCCCCTCCAATGTTCTGGCTGTTTATCTGCAAAATCATCATTTCTGAGCAGGCATCTTCGATCCTGCAGTTATTGCAAGTCACTCACTTGGGCCATCTGAGTCATGCAGGGAGCTATTAATAGGATGCTGCTGGCTCGGTGCTTTTGGTCCCTGGCTGGGCATCTACAATGCCAACAAAACAGCAAAGCCTGGGGGTTCTCTGCAGTGACACTTGAAATTTATGATGTGTCTGCCTCTCCAGAGTGTCTCTCCTGCTTTATTTTAGGCTTGGGGATGGAGAACATTGGTGGAATCTTCGTGGTGCTCATCTGTGGCTTAATCGTAGCAATTTTTATGGCAATGCTGGAATTTTTGTGGAGCCTTCGACACTCTGAGCAGTCAGAGGTAGGACCTGGGAGTGTCCTGAGGGGACAGGGTGTGTTTATTGCTGCCCGTGAGGTGTCCTAGAGCAAGTCATGCACCCAGGCTGGGGAGCAATCCCAGCCAGGACAGCTCAAACCCAGGAACAGGCTTGGCCCTTTGGGCAGGGTCTAAAATCCATGAGCTTCTCATGCATTCCTACTCAGAGTGAGGCTGTAGAGAGGCAGGAAGGGCTTTCAAAGGGATCAAAGATGTATCCAACATCCAGGTACCTTTCCTGGGGATGGGATATCTGTCTGCAGCAGGTTTGGATCTTGTGCTGATCTGGGGATGAAGAACACAGTGGGGGTCTCTGATGAGAGGCAGAATTGGGTTAAATCAAGTGTAGATTCTGAGCACTGATGTTGAAAACCAGCAGCACTGAGTCCATGAAAATTTGGTGTCAGAATCACACCATGGATTCTTAAAACATCCTGGGTTGGAAGGGACCTCAAAGCTCATCCAGTTCCACCCCCTGCCACGGTCAGGGACACCTCCCACATTCCCAGGTCACTCCAAGCCCTCATCACTCCAGCACCCAGAGCCCCTGAGGGACTCAGAGCTCGCTCAGGTGAGCAGGGCACCTCCATTCTCCCCCGCAGGTGTCGGTGTGCCAAGAGATGGTGACGGAGCTGCGCAACATCATCCTGTGCAAGGACAGTTTCCACCCCCGTCGGAGGCGAGGCGGGGTGGTACGGACTCGCCCCGCTCTGCCCGAGGAGCGCCGAGCCCGCAGCACGACCACGCTCAGCAACGGCAAGCTGTGCAGCGGGGGCGAGCCAGACCCCCTGGCACAAAGACTGGCACAGGAGGCCGCCCTGGTCGCCCGGGGCTGCACCCACATCCGCGTGTGCCCCGAGTGCCGCCGCTTCCAGGGGCTCCGGGCGCGGCCGGCCGCGGGGTCACCGGCGCGGAGCGAGGAGAGCCTGGAGTGGGACAAGGCCACCAACAGCAGCGGGCCCGAGTAGCGCCGGGCCCCGGGGGGGCATCGGGGTGGGACGAGAGGGTCCTGTTCCATTTTACAGAACACGGACTTGTACAATGTCAACTCGTTTTTAAATCAATAGCAGTTTACCCGGCTTCTCCAGAGCAAGGTGCACCTTGGCGTGGGCGCTGAGGCCTGGCTGCGGTTTCGGTGTCCGCCGCGGCCCGGCGTGGCAGGAGGGAGGTCCTCAGGCTGGTGGAGGTCCAGGGGGTGTCTCTGGGAAGGAGGGACGTGGCGGGTGGCTGGTGTAGCAGGTATTGCCCACGCAGGGGCAAGGAGGGCTTCCTGGAATTCTCACCCCTCCAAGGTCAGGAGAAAGGACATGGCGCTGCCTCTCCATCACTTACTGGGGGATGTTCTCCAAGGGCAAGGGGGACTTTTTATTTGCCGTGGCTGTGGGAAGGGAGGAGTCATTATTTTGGGGTTTTTTTTGTTTAATTTGGGTATGTCAGGGCCCAGTCTCCAAGGCACCAGGTGCTGAATTCTTCTTCCTTTTCCAAGGGTGGCAGGTGGGTTGAAAGGGGAAGGGGAGGATGGGATGGGACACGCTCCCTGTGAGAAGCAGCATTTGCTGGAAGTCCATCTGAGGAGTTGTTGAAATTACATATATAGAGAAATATATCTATACATAGATATATATATATATACATATATTAAAATGCCAAAAAACAGCCAACAAACACAGCAAACTCAAAGAGGCCTTGAAACGCCTGGAATTTCAGGGGTTCTGTGTCTTTTGTTTCATTCTGGGGTTATCTTTTGCTTTTTTTTTCCTTTTCCTTTCTATTCTTGGGACGGGGTGGGGGGGAGCCTTTTGAGGGAGGTGAGTGGGGAGCACTGGGGGAGGCTGCCCGTCCCCACCAGCCGAGGAGGAGGTGTTGGGACCCCCAGAGTGTCCCTGGCTGTGCTCTGCATGCTCCTGAAGTGACTCTGAGCTCTGCCCCAGGCTCAGGAGCTCCCCAAATCCGTGACCCCACGGAGCACCCTCAACTTCCAGGGTGAATTCCAGCCACACAGCATTTGAGAAAATCATTAGCCCGGGATCTCGTGTAAGGAAAATAGTGACTTCCCTAAAAACAGCAGCAGCTCACCCTCTGCTTGGCACAGATGTGGGGTTTACACTGGCAAATTTAATTTTCTGATTGAAAAAACAAATTCTATGCAATTTCTGGTTGTAAAAGGAAAGAGATGACAATGGAGAGGGGCAGGGGAGATAAAGCCTTGAGTGAAGGTACATCCTGTTCTTGAATTGTTTTCTTTTTGTCTTGAATGTACTGAAATAAAAGATGTCCTTGTATAATCATGCTTTTTTTTTTTTTTTTCCCTTCTCTTTCCTTGCCTGTTTAGAGTCAGGAAAGTTGTGAGACAGTTTGAGGCCCAGCTGCTCAGGGAGAAACCCAGAAATTTGACAAGCAAGAGATGCTTTGGCTGTTGAAGCTCTCTGCTGCCTGAGAGTGTCCACACCCTGGTGTTGCTGTTACCTGTAGCTGAATGGAAAACAGGAGTTAAAAAGCAAAGGTCAATTGAAAAAGAAAAAGCCCAAGTACCTGGTGATGAGGGAGGAGAGAACTCAGAACTGGCAGCAGGGTGAGCAGGGATGCAGCTCCACCTTTCCCATAGCTGGTGGTTGGAGCTGCCCAAGGGTGAATCCAGGGTGGTTCCAGCAGATGGTTCTGAGGAGGAATGGGGTTTAATTCATGGGGATGGGCACAGCAGGGGTGTTCTGGTGATTCCAGAAGCTGTTTCTGAGTAGGATACACAGGGAATGGGGTTTAATCCATGGGGATGGGCACAGCAGGGGTGTTCTGGTGATTCCAGCAGATGTTTCTGAGGAGGATGGGCAGGGAATGGAATTTGATCCATGGTGATAGGTACAGTAGGGTTTTTCTGAAGATTCCAGCAGATGTTTCTGAGGATGCACAGAGAATGGAGTGTGGACTGTGGTGATGGGCACAGCAGGGCCATTCTGTTGTTCCCAGCAGGGTGTGAAGGGAAGCTCTGCTCCCAGTGACTGTAAAACAGGCAGCAAGGAGAGGATTTAGAGATTGTTTTTTAGGATGTCGTATGAGATGCTCACAGAGCTCCTTCCTGGCTTTCACATCTGTAAATCCACAGGATGTTCCCCTCTCCCTGGCATAAACTGAGCAGTGAGATAAAGCAAGGCTCCCCCCATGCCATGGGGTTGGAGAGGCAGATCCTCAGCTGAGGCAAGTCAGTAAAACTCCATGCAGCTCTGCCAGGAGCCAGGCTGGGCTTTCAGAGTCCTGACAGCAGCACTAGAGACATCTGAGAGCGCCTGTGTTGTGCTTAAAGGCCAACATGTTTCTACGAGCTGCAGAATATATTCATCAAAAGGAAGCTGCTTTTTAAAATTTATTTACAGATTAGCAGAAGAAAAGGCTCCATGAATCATTTATCAGACCTGATGTTTTTTTCACTGCTTCCCCGCATTGAATAAAGAGAAATCTTGACAGAGCTAGACATTATTCTGCATCTCCAAAGATCTTGCAGTCATCTGCTCAGACAGAGGATGTCAAGGAAAAAAAAAATGATGAGAAACCACCTGGTTTTTATCTCTCCTGTTAGCTTGCTCCACCCACATGGTATTTTATATCTGGGTCTGTATTTTAAGGGGATTTGTTTCATGTCCCTCTTGCCCTCCTCTCTTTTTAAAGTTGTTTTTCTTTTTTTAATATTCAGAGGTTTTGCACTCAGAGCAGGGATGGACCTCAGACGAGGAGGATGAAAGCTGCTGTCATTGAGATGCCTTTTCTAATGTGCTTCTGCCCTGCATTTTCTGCTCCCTGCTAAATCCTTCCAGTCCCACCCTGGAGGGAGCAGGCAGCATTATGCATGTGCTGGGTTTGTGCTCACACACATTTGTGTGCCCAGATGGGTTTACATCTCACACATTCCCTCTCTCCCCAGGTTGGTTTTTTTTTTCTTTTCCTCCCATCTTTGAAGCCATTGTGGGGCTCATTTGCTCAGCCAGCCCCAATGCTAATGCAGTTCAAGATCTGGAGTGGTTTGCCTTGCAAAAGGCACTTTCCCAGTATTGCTGTCTCCTGATAAACCCCGGGTAATTCTAGTAAGATATCTCTGCAAATTCCACCAGGAGCCAAAGATTAGATCAATTAAAATGGAATACTTTGCTTTGTCCCTTCTAACCAGTGTGTTTGAGCCTCCTGCTGCCCTCTGGTTTAGGCTCATGTCTCTCCCTGCCCTGACAGCCAGTTCTCCAGCCCTGGCTCACTCGACAGCAGCCTGGCAGCTTCCTAGCTGAAAGGCCTGGAATCTCTCCTCGTGGGCTAAAACCCGTGTTTGTGTTGTTTTTTCCAGGCAGTTCCATTTTCACCTAATGATAAAAAGCTGTTTTCTCCCCAGAGGGTGCATGGGTGAAGGTATTAACAAGGCCTGGACTAACCTGGGGACATTTCCTGAGCTGAGCCGTGTATATGAAATAAAAAAGGGTTGCTCTGTGAGCACAAAACCTTGGGAAGAGAGATGCTGAGCTATAAATTATAGAACAGACACTAAGCCCTCAGTGGTCCTGAGGCAGGAATCTTTTTAACCATTCCACAGCTACAAAAATCTTCCTGCCTTTCTCCAAGTGCCTCGCCAGGTAAGTGACACAAAATGTGGAGGAAGATCCACAGGGAACAGCATTTTTTGCAGAGATTTGGAGTTCTAGAAGGGGTGTGAATCCCTGTGACCTGGCAGGGAGGTGGGAACTGCAGCTGTGGGCACAGGGAAGATGGGATAGACACAGAAATGTGGGCAACTGGTTTGGATGGTTCTTGGGTGATGGCTCTGAATGGTAAAAAAATAAGAGACCTGTGGGTGAGAACTGTTCAGTGGAGGCTGGCTGGGTCCTAAGGAGGTTTCTAAGCTGCTTTCTAAGTTTCTGTAAGAGCAAATAAGCAAAGATGGACTGGCTTGGGGTGAAGCTGTCACAACTGGGCTGTGAAAAGCCCAGTATGAGTGACCAAAGCCCCTCCAACAGTTTAGTTTCATTTAGCTCTGCAGTTAATTACCTGCAGGATGGGTGTTTCTCTCTTCTGCTTCGCTTGTTCATCCAGTGAAGGTGATGGAATTTCTTGCAGGGACTTTGGCTAGAGGGGGAAAGCAGCAGTGGCCATCAGGAGGAGAATGAGGCACCACTCCAGGGCAAGGGAAACAGCCCCAGTGTGGGCAGAATCAGGCAGAGAGAACTGCAAACCGCCCCCAGAAATGGTAAAAAGTAAGTCTGGGCTCACATGTGACACTTGCAAGTCCGCTGAGGATCCAAGAGTGAGGGAACATCACCTTTGCCTGCAGTGAGGGGCTGAGCACAGCTCAGGGAAGAGCTCAGCGAGCCCAAACAGCTGCAGAACAGAGCATAAAGCACCCACAGTTCCAGAAACCCCATTAGTGTCTGATGGCCACTAACTGATTGAAAAGACAGGGCTGAACTCTCCTGGGCACAAAGTGGCTCTCATGAATTCAGTATAAATAGGCTCCCCTGGAACACGACACCACACTGGGAAAATCAGGACAATGGGCAGGTTTATGCATCCTTCAGGGCAGGCTTTTTTCCCCTCCAAGGGGGGAATCTGCTCTGTTCCAGGTGACTGATGAGTCTGGTCGGTGGCAGGGCTGCAGCATTTCATCCCAGGGATGATTCCAGCTGGGGGGTGAGGATGTGCAGCTGCCCTGGCTGGGGGGGGACGTGTGGCACTGCATCACCAGCACAAAGGTTCACACAGCAGCAGCTCCCTCCCCGAGAGCCCTGGCGGGGCCAGAGCAGCATGAAAATGAAGGCAGCTTAATTAACAAAGGCTTTCTCCTCTGCTGTGTTGAGGTCTGCAGTTATCAGCATCGCTGGCAGTTCTCAAAGACTGAAATGACAGTAGTTGGCTGTAAAAGAGATAACTGTCAGATTAGCTGGGACATATCTCCGCCGAGGTTTTCTATATCATACCTATCTTGAAGCATCTCCATGTATCAAAGGGACTAGTTGGCCATTTGCCTCTCCAAAGTACCCTTTCCACCGTGATAAATAAGGCTCTGTTACAGGGGAAAGGCCTAACATTTCTTGTGCCTTGACTCAAGCTGGTTTGGAGCAGCGTTTTTCGGGCTTTGAT